CCAGCTGGTGGCAACGCCAAGCCGATTCCGTTTCCAGGCCGGGACAACTCCGGTCAGGGGGGCAATCCCGTGTTGGTTTATGTCGACCCCGAGTTGGACGAGATTCGGTATGGTGGTTTTGAGCAGCATGAAAGGACGATAGCACCTCTTCGCGGATTAAATGTTCATTTGAATGAGAAGTTTAAAGTTGCGTTTTGTGAAGACAACCAAGCAACAATTCACATCATTCAGACTGGAAATTCCGCGCAGCTTCGTCATGCTGACAGAACTCAAAGAACTTCTTTGGCGTGGCTTCGAGAACAATTCACGAAAGGTTTCTTCAATCTCGTCAATGTCAACACTGTGTATCAGGTTGCGGACATCTTGACCAAGCCGTTTACGAGCAAAGCAAAATGGGATCACGCGTGCAATCTTATTGGAGTACGGTGGGTGCAGTTGGATGGAAACATTACAATCAAACCAGCCCCCACTAGCGAGGCGCAAGCTTCCGCCGTTTCCACGCATGAAACCTATGATCGGTTCTTGTGCGAATTTTGCTGTTCTGATGATTCCAAGCTCGGCGACAAATCAAGATTACCAGCATTTGGTTGCAAGGTGCTTAGAGTAACTGAGCGTCAGAATGCGTTGGTTGCTGATACATTGAAATGGGTATTTGACGAGGTGCAACTTTTCAGGAAGAATGTCAAGTCCAAAACACCGCCCTGTGTGATGCTTCATGCTTCACTCCCGTGTACGGGTGGGTGCCCCTGGAACAATATCAATGGTCAGACTCAAGAAGGTCAAGCCAAGATCCAGGAGCACAAGGCGTTGTTTCGCAAACTGCTGAAGCGTTTGGACAAACTTATCACTATGCTTCGACAGCTTGACATTGTGCTTGTGATCAACATGGAACTTCCTAAGCTTTGCAGTTATTGGAAGAACTATTTCGTGCATGATTTCCTTATGAAATATGAGATGGTCAAGTACAATTGCGATGGTTGCATGTTCGGTGTCCTTGACAGGGATGGAAATTTGTTGCAAAAGTCATGGACTATTGCTTCTTCCTGTCAATCATTGGCCAAACTGCAACAGTATAAGTGCACAAAGGATCATCAGCATGGACAGTCCAGGGGGGCGGCCCTCAAACGTGCTGAATCTTACACGTATGAAATGACTGACCTGATCCATGGATGTTTTTCTGAGTTTGTTGACAGCATGAAACAGGTTGTCACCGATAGCTCGGCTCAGAGACCAACAAAACGTGCACTTGTTGCTCTTAAGCTTCCCTCACCGGTAGCCGCAATGGCTGCTTACAATCTCGGGGAGTACGAGCAGGGCAACTTGGAGTACTGGCGAGGTGTGATGACGAGCTTCACGTCGAACACCCTGTTCCAGGAGACGAGGCCTGAGGATCGCAAGACAATGGAGCAGATCCTCGGAGCACAGGCCACCCTTCAGAGTTCATGCGCTATGTGGGCGGCTGACTACGCGCCGGAGCTCATGGATACGCTCTGCGCCGTCAACGACAAAGGTCTTGGCCGCATCACGCCCGGGGCAACCTGTGGCCGGAATAGCGTATACCTCGTTGTGAGTGACTCCAGCCTCGCCCTCATCAGCGGTGGCAAGAAGAACCGCAAGAGGGCGGATTTGGCGCAGGACATGAACTACAACCGCAGCACTGGTTGTAGCCACTGTGAGGTGAGAATGTGTTGGGGAAAGGACCTCACATTTCTCACGTGGACAGTGAAGAGCGCCATGAAGGACTTGAAGAAGCGCCCTGAGTTTAAGGACCACGACTTCTACGTGACGGTGTACTGGTCCGGGAACGAGCTCGTTGGCAGTGGTGGGATCTGCGATGAGCCCGAATGGCCATACCGTTGCGGAGACGGTCACTGGCCCGAGCTGTTCAACAAGTGCGCCAAGGCGATCGATGTGCTTGAGGAGTGCAGGAGTTGGTGGGGCATTGCAAACATCACGATCTTGGCCAACACCGAGGGTTCGTACTATATGCTCCCGCCCATCTACAACCAGTTCATGGAAAAGTTGTTGGATGAGTCGCTCAACAAGCACAAGCTCCTTCGCAAGAAGGAGTCGACGTTCTTGGTATCTCGTCAGGACCGGCTTGACAACTATCACATGATGGACTCCATCGAGAACCGGAAGACGACGGTGGAGTGGCTGTGGTCGTTGTACAACGTCATGAAGTGTGTCGCTGTCGTTGAGTCCCACAAAGAAGATTTCAACAACGTCAGGTTGTACCTTGAATATTCTCATGACGCCGAAGCTGGACTCAATCCCGACACTTTGGCCGAGTATGAGGCGAACAGGAAGCTCACTCTTGAGTCATGGGAAAGCCTTCAACGTCCGATCAAGCTCGCGAAGGGCCGCATCCTCGAAAAGATCGAGGAAGTCGAAATCAAGGAGGAGATCGACTATGATGACGATGATGCACTCCCGCAAGGGAGTGCCGCTGAGGCTGCGCTTGGCGTCAAGGCCGCTCCGGCTACACCCAAGTTCACCGCGAAAGCATCGCCTAAGGTACAGGCGAAACCATCAACTGCTGCGGTGGCGTCGGATGTGCGGGGGGCAACCCCTGCCGGAAGCGCGTTGCCAGGCAAGCCCGGCGGAACCGTCATCTTCCGCGGCCAGGAGTATGAGGCGAGGATTCTCCCGGGCACGATCCTGAAGGTGCCCAACTTCATGAAGGGAGAAACGTCCTCTACCGATCGGTGCACAACCATATCTGGTATGCTTCGTGGCAGGTTTCAAGAACAGAGGCCACTCGATTTCGATGAGAACTATTTTGTCGACGTCCATCAGCTATGTGACAAATTCAACAGAAAGACCCGCAGCAATATCGGGTACAAAACGCTGTTGAAGATTTTTGCACTCGATCCGAAATGCAGATACACCGTCCTCGCGATCAAGCACCCTTCGGCTGCCGAGAACAACCAGGAGTGGGTTGTCATCAAGGTTCGTGCCAGTCAGGGACACGCCAGCAGCGTTGATGCTGATGGCGACATCAGCCGGAACCAGTATGCACTTGCGAAGGCCGTCTATGGGAAGTTTCTCCCGGAGGACGCTCGCAAGGTCGGACTGCAACTTTCACCGGTTGATGATGGCCCTGGCAAACTATACCATCGCACGAGCAAGAACGCAGCCGAGAACATCGTCAGGACAGGTTTGGTCCCGGGTGGCGTTGGTGCCACGGAGAGTGGCCGCTCGCAAAGCCACTTTTCCATCCACCCGGTAGAGAGCTCATCGTATAATGCTGGAGTCCGAGCAACGATGCCCATTGAGCTTGTGATCGACTTCAAGTATGCGATTGAGCTCGGAGTGGTGTTTTTCCTTTCCGAGTCTGATGTCATGCTGACCAACGACATCGTTCCCAATGACTCCATTCTGTACTACACAGACGCGAAGACCGGAGAAGTGCTTTGGAGGAACGCCCTTCGTCTTGAGGCATTGGAGAATCAAACGACTGTCGATATGCTCGCCGCAAGGCGAGCCGTCACTGTGACTGCAGACGAGGCCTTTCAGACCGATGCGGAGGGGAACAGGGCCACAAATCCTGAAGAAGAGCAGACGAATGAGGATACGGCCGCTTCTTGCCCGGGGCAACCCGCGGCCGACACCTCAGTTGTCCGTTTCAAGACCTTTGCGATGCCCGTCCACTACACGGACTGCAGCCTCTGCGGCGAGGACATGATGCAGGGGCAGATCAAGTGTCAGCGCTGTGGACGGAGCACCAAGGAGAACAACGACGTTCAGCTCTTCAGAGCCGCAAAGCGGAGAACGCAGATGCTTGAGGAGGTGAGCCACCGCGTCGGCAAGACGGTTGACCAGCTCCTCATCAATGATTTCAAGGGCTACGCTGATGTTGCAAAGAGAGGAGCAACATCCTTTGAAGCCAAGCAGATCGAGGCTTCGAAGAACTACGACAGCAGGGCCCGCAAGCTTGGATACGACAATGTGGTGGATCGGTTTGACAAAGACGCGACCTTCGCCCTTCGCATGGTGGAGCAAGGGCACAACCGCGACAGCCTCTACCAGATGTCTATCTATAGGTTTTGTGTCCTCCCCGAATTTCCACGGAGTTATGATCAACGACTTCTCGGGGTTGGGCCACGCTATGGAAAACGAGGTCTCCAGTATGTGAGGACCGTCTACGTCACCGGCGGCAAGGTCGGGGACTATGACGCCAGCCTGCTTGAGTTTCCATGGCTATTCTCGTACAACGGGAAAATGCTGAGTCTTCATCAATTCGTCGACCAGGTCAACATCCTCCCGGGGATGCGCAATCTTGTCACCTTTGGCGGGAAGTTCCCTACGCTCCGGGCAACCGGAGCCGTGGACCTCGAAGCTGAAGTCAAGGAGATTTGCGGCCAGGCGGAGGACGATGCGAAGAAGCTCGCACGGCGCAGCCAAAGGCAAAGCGCCGAGGACCGCGCCCGCGGACCTGTGCAAGCTGCTCAGCCCGCCTCCAGCTCCGCTGCCAGAAGCCGAAGCTGGAGAGATTGGGGCAGTCAGGACTGGAGCAGTCAGGACTGGAGCAGCTGGCAGTGGTCGACCTGGAGTTCGCGCGGCTGGTCTACTAGCGGAAGGTGGTGAATGCAATCCTCATCACAACGGAGCCCTTCTGAGAGAGAGTAGCAATTTGCATGCACGACGGATGTGTAATGTCCATTTTCAACGTGCAATGGATGTGCGTATGGAATCAAAGCGGGTTGCAAAACCTGCCGACATTTTCGTTGTTGCTCAATCTCAAATGAGGGGGGTGTGGATTCAGGTTCCAACCCTGTGCATGAGTGTACCTTGTACATGCTCCGCCGCTACAGACTTCAAGAGCACTATCAGCAGTGTGAAAAGTAGTCAACGGTTTGCTGCTTGCCTAGGTATTACCTTAGGTGGCCTAGGCTTGATAACACAGAAAGTCCTGGGCTCAATCCCCAGTGGAGGCTGGTTTGCCGCGAACATGCCCCAGCCCACCGAATCCAACACTCGCTGTGTTTGGCCACCAGGTTTGGATGAGAGCAGCCTCGAAGAAATCGCCGCAGCGCGGCGAGGAGGGCGCTGTCAGACAGGTTTCATGTGCGCGCATGTGCATTATTGAAGCCGAAGGCAGGTTGCGGGGGCCATGATATTTGTTGAGTACAGTGAGTATCAGTTGGCAAAAGAAACAACTTGCTGGTGCTCAGTGGGGAATGTGGGAATGAAGTCAGGGATTCCCTTGAAGAAAACCGCAAGGATGGTTTACAGGAGTCATTCCCTCATTCCCTGCTGAGCACCAGCAAGACAATGCTGCTTGAGGTAATGGCGACCGAAGGGGCATGCGGCATGCTGCATGGTTCCTTCTATCGTAGCCTACCCGCCTCAGTGCATCGACACTTCTGCACCACTGAAAAATGTCGGAAACAGTTTTAGCCACTGCAACAGCGGTTTGAGCCGCAACTACCATGCACAACCAAAGGCAACACCAGAAGTTTTCCCTTGCAGGCGACTACAACTTGATGTAGGCATGTTTCATTGCGCTTAAACAAAAACCATTGGATGAACTGTTTGAACTCCGCTCAAAAGCCCCCCTGTTGGGAAGATCATGCAAGATAGCTTCTCTGTTGTTGGCATGTTTGTGTCAGTGTGTTCTTTGTGCTTTTGGTTCTGCTCATTTTTAGTAGGCTGCAGCAAATCAAGCTTGTTTTGTTGCTACCATACCAAGACTTCGAAAGTGTTTGAATGATGATCCTCCACTGTGGGCCGGAACAGTCCGATGAAGCATTTCTGTGCACTACCTATACTTTTGCTAGTCTACTGCTGTTTTGGACGACGGGGGGGGGACAACCCTCATTCCCCCACAAAAACCCTACTTACTCAGGGCTCCTTAAAAGATCATTTTGCCCATTTGAAGCATGGCTTTTTCCACCAAAATAAGGGGAAACCACCATTCACAAGGCAATGTTCAGGTGTATAATGCAAGGATCCCTGTTACTGACAACACTTTTGGTAGCACTGTTCGGGCCTGTTCTGTGTCTATTCTGCTGGTGTCACGCAAACTGCTGGCATCGTGCAGCGCAGTCATCGCAAAGGGGAATCCAAAAAGCTGGTCTACTGTTGATTTGGGGAGAACGAGAAGGAGGGGACAACGGGACAACCCCCATTTTTCCCCACAAACACCGTGCTTTTCCCCGTGTCCTCTTGGGGAGAGAAAAAAAGGCAAGCGTTTGCCAGGAGTGCGGCCAGCCGGGCACAACGCCCGGTCGCACAGCCGCGAGAAGAATTCCTCATGGATTCCGTGGGCCCTTGCCATGTTCTTCCATTTGCTTCAATGGGTGTGTCATGTTCGCTTGTTGGTTTGAAAGGGAATACCTATCACTACTGGATATTGTTTTTATGTGCGAGATGAGCAATGTTAGCCCTTGCTAGAAAAGGCATGCCCTGAAATTCCGGCATTTTCCATGGTCATGGACTCCTAACAATATCAGCTATGGGGAGGGCTATGTGTTGTTAAGTCCTTAATAAGACCTTAAGGGCAAAGTTTAGCTTTTGTGCTGATCCAGGCATAGCCCCCCCATTGCCCTATTTGGGGTCCACTACATGGTAAATGCGTTTTTTTTGGTCGTCCGGGGTTGGTATCATACAGGAAAAGCCGCCGATGGGCGTAGAGCATCATGTCCGCATCAAGAATCCAAGAGAAGACTGTGCTTGTTCGGCTAAGCGGTTTATGGTGAACCGACAATTTCAGCGCTGAAAGAACGTCCATTCTCTCGTGACTTTGCTCCAATTTGCACGCTGCAGCGGTCGACAGCCTCTTTTGGTTACCAAGGACATCGCTGCCGAGCAGAGGCCACGGATGTTGTGGGGTCTTGGGCCTTGCATGTATGTGGGCATGCATTTCTCCGGAACGATTTCGGTGTTTTCCCCCAGTTCGGCTCCTGCAAAGGGAACGGGTCACTTACTATGGTGGCGAATTGCCTACTCGCAGGGAGGGTAGTAAACTCTTCACTGTTGGATCATGTTACGTTCTGTTTGAAACGTGTTTTGGTTCTGTTCATTCTTAAGTTTGGAACCTGCAACACGTGGTGAGCTTGTTGCAATTACCCAAAAAAGGTAGACAGCGGCCCGCCATGGGCCTGTGTTTTTGAAATCTGCATTTTTCACACCTTGGCGTATGTGGATGCACCTTTCTTGCACATGCGGTCTTTGGTGATTTTTGGAGAAGGCCACCCACTGCAGGCATCTTTCCTCTTCCTGCTTTCTGTCAATCAGCGTTCTCCAAGGATTCCCTTGCTATTCCCTTAGTATCCCCCTAAAAGATCCTCAGAATTCCCCCAGTATTCCTCAACTAGCACCCTCCTAGTAATTCTGTCCCTAGCATTACCCCAGTGTGCCTTTGTTATTTTCTTAGTATACCCCTAATATTCCCTCAGTATTCCCCTGGTGTTCCCCAATCTAGCATTCTCCTGGTAATCTGTGTTCCCCCAGTAGTCCTCTATCATGCCCTCGGTATTCAAGTTCCTTTAGCTCTCTTGTTATACCCTCTAGTATCTCCTCAGTGTTCCCCTAGTAGCTGTTCCCAAGTATTTGTTCAGTACTCCCCTTTTGTTTCTCGAGTATTCACCCTTTGTGCTTCCCTAGTACTCCCTAACTTACTATACCCCTAGTATTCCCCTTATTATTCCCTGGTACTCCCCGAATATTCCACGCCCCTAACTCCTTTTGTATTTTCTTGTATACCCCAAATCTCCTCTCAGTGTTCAAGTGTTCCCCAAATATTCCTTCAATCTTCCCCTTAGCAGCTTCTTGGCAATTCCCTACCAGACCCCATTTATTCCCCTCAGTATTCCCCTACTATTCCTCTGGTATTCTCTTGGTGTACCCTCTAGCATTTCCTCAGTGTTTTCCGAGATTCCCTTAACATTCCTCAAGTTGTCTGTATTCTCCTAGCATTTTCATAGTATTCACTAGTATTCCCCTAGCACTCCCCTTACTATTCCTCGAATAGGCCCCTATTCCTTTAGAATTATTTTACCCCTAGAGTTATATTCCCCTAGTATTCCCCTAATAGTATTTCTTTAGCATTCCCCTAGAATTGTATTCCCCTAATATTGTTCAGTATTCCTTAGTATTTTCTGGGTATGCCCCTAATATTCTGCAAATATTCCCCTAGTTAGTATTGTCCCAGCATTCCCCTTTGTACTTCCCCTGCTATCCTGCATCTGCGCTCCAGTTTCTGAGTAGCAAAGAATTAGGGAAACACCGAGGGGATAATAAGGGAATACCAGGGGAATAACAAGAGGAAATGCTAGGAGAATACTAGGGGAATACTGGGAGAGAATACTACAAATAAACTGAGCAAATACTAAGGAATTCTGGGGTTACTGGGGAAATATTGGGAGAACGCTAGGGGTATTCCAAGAAAATACTCAGAAATACTAGGACAATATTAGGGGAATACTAGGAGAATACAACTAGTAGGGGTGAGATAATGCTAAAGGAATGGAGAATACTAAGGGGAATGCTAGGGCAATATTAAGGGAATACTGAGGAAGTATTGTGAACATTAGGAACACTAGGGGAATATTGAGGAATATTAAAGAATACTGGGGAGTGCTGAGAGAACGCTAGGGGCAAGAGAATATTAAAGGAATATGGCAAGATTTAGGGGAATATTAAAGGAACAATGATGACTCTTCAGGGAATTCTCAGGGAATGGTAAGGGAATGCTATACAATGGAACACTGAGAGAACACGAAAGAAATCCTCGGAAAACACTGAGGGGACAATGCGGGAAGTGCAAAAACCTCGAGAAACCGGAACAAAAACAACAATCCCCCGAACAAAACCTTGGAGGTACTGGTCATTTCCCCCAAGCAATTGTTTTTAAAGGTTTTCTCGAGGTTTTTGTGTGTTTGTTGGTTTTCTCGAGGTTTGGGTCACATGTCCTTTTCCAGAGTACATGGGAATGGTGTACTGGTGCGTGTTGTTCTGAGTTTTTCTTGTATTTCGCAAACGCAGCCCCCATGGCGGGCCCTTCTGAAAAGGTAACCAGCTATTCTCCTTTTGGTTTTTCAAGCATCCACTGGAGCCACTTGCTCCGCAAGTTCGCAAGAGGCCGGGGGTGCTGGATCCCCAGTGCTACGAGAACACCATCGAGGCCTGCGCGCGCAGCAGGCAGTGGCAGGTGGCGGTACACCTGGTGGCGGAGATGCGCGAAGCTTCCCTGGAGCCTCATGCGGCGACCATGGCACAGGTGGGAGCTCCAAATGGGTGTGTCTTTTTTGTCGGGGCCTTCAAAATGGTGGGTTTCCTTTGAGATCCTGTAAAACCGCCAAACAAATAGCCTCCAAAAAGCCGCAAAACAAGCTAAACAAATCTGAAACAACCGGTCCAAATCGGTCCAATATCTGTCAAAACAGCGATTTGGACCCCCCAAAATGTTCTTTGATTTCCTTTTCAGGGTTGTGTGTTGACCATCCAAGATTGGCTTTCCCTTCTTTCCCGTGAAACCAAGCCTAGGCTAGCCTCAAGAAAAGCACACGTTCAGATGGGTTGCAAATGGGTTTCAACTCGACCCCACGTCCCGAAGAGGCCAGTTGAATCCCTGCCAGCTGAAAGCGTGGGGGCCGAGAGGCCCAGAAATCGGCTCCTTTGAAGGTGGTCAGGTGGCAGCTTTCAGGAGGGTTCCGGAGAGGCTGACAGGGCTGGGACATCACCTGGGCGTCCTTGAAGTTCAGAAACCTTAAGACATCACGGTGCTTAGCATTTGTTTGTTGCGTGGTGCTCTTCATTTTTACAGGGCTGCAAAAAGCTTGATGTTTTTTTGGATTTTTTTGCGAGTTGTTTTTCTTCCCCCAGAGTTGTAGAGAAGAGAAGGTTCAACGGAGTTGGGTTGCAGGTGAGGAATGGGCCAAAGCTGGCCAGGTCTCTGAGGTCATGGTGCGGGAGGATCAGTTTCCAGGCGCTCCGGCAGGGGCGGGTCGAGTCAAAGCCTTTGACATGGCGTGTCTTTTGAGGCTACCCATTTTTGAGGCTGTTTCTTGAAGACATGATATTTTTAGGTTAGTTTTTCTGAGGCGAAAACACAAAGGAGCAACTACCATTTCAGGGCTCCGATATCGAAAAAAGACGATCAACATTTGGTTGGTGCTTGTTGTTTGGGCGAAAATGAAGACTTCCCATCTGTTCGAGGGAACCCTTGAGTTGCAAACAAGGAACCCACCCATTTTTATTTTTTTTATTTGTTTTTTTTGTTTTTTTTTTTTTGGGGGGGGGGCGTCCCCCAATTTTATTTGTTAACTCATTTCTTTGTCCTTTTTTGTGGGTGCCCCATGTTGGGTGGTTTCGAAGGGAAAGCATTAGGAAAACCGACGCCGAAACGAAGACACCCCACAAGTTGGTCTGGTTTTTTTCGGTGAAAGTGGGCAGATCAACTCGGGCTCCCTTTCACTCAGGACTGCTTGCCTTGCTCAAAGCATCCAGCGCTGGTCTGACTTGGCGACAAAAACGCAGTGGCTGAAGCAGTTGTCAGCAAATTGCGAGGGCAGGCTTAGTTTCATGTTCATGTCACACAGTACTTCCCGGCAAATTAACATGGAGCCCAACAAAGAAGTCCCACCCAAGGCAGGACTCCCCCACAAATCATGTGTTGGTTTTTGTTTTGTGCGGGATGTCGTCTTTTTTCCTTTTATGTCTCCCACAAAAACAAACAAACTCGAAAACGGGCACCCTCAAAAACACAAGGTTCCCCGCCCCCAAAGGAAAAAAAGGCGGGCCAACACGGGTACCCTCCAAAACTACGAAAACCAGCCGGCCAGGTGTAACGGTGTCGAGTCGGGCGGATTTTTGCTCGAATGGCAGGCGCCATGGCCCTGTACCGGGGGAGTCAAGACCTGGGCTGCGGGGCGAAGATCGACCAGAAGGGCCTAGTGGACTTGCATGGCTTGTGTCTGGAGGTAGCGCCTGGGACCCATAGGTGTTGGGAACCTCAACCCATGGCTCCCCCCTTGTTTGGCGCTTCTCGACCCTCACAGCTTCCATTTGCTGATGGGAGTGGTGAGATGACCCACAAAAGCCATGGTCATAGTCATAAGTCTCGGTTTACATTGTTTTTGCTTTGTTTTTCCCGGCTTGCTCACCACCTAAGTACCCTCCTTCAATCAGGTGTTGGGAACCTTAACCCATGGATCCCCCTTGTTGGGTGCTTCTCGACCCTCACAGCTTCTATTTGCTGAAAATAGTATGTTCGATGTTCTCCGAAAAGTGCTAAAGGGACCGATTTCACCGCTGGACATATTTGCTCATTTTTTTCCAGGGGACAAACAAGCAAATGGATGGTTGCGAACCTACACAACCATGGGGGTTGGACTTAAAACGGGAAGGAATCGGAAAACGGGTCCTCAAAACTTGGCGGAAAAAACTATATGGTGTTGTTGTTTCCCCTTAGAATAAACAGAAACACAATTTCCCTAAAGAAAGACACCCAAATGCGTGTTTCTCAAAATTGGAATCGGACCCCACAAATTGCGGTTGGTTTCCTGTTAGTTTACTCTTAGACCATCCCAATAAGGGACACATATTTGGAGAAACACCCAAGGGTAGTATGGGAAAGTCTCAACCAGAATTAGATGCGGGCGCCTTGTCAGTGATCATTTTGACACCAGGTTTTGATTGTGACTCAAGTGCTGCTTTCAATTTGTTGGGAGGAGCTTTTTGTTTTCCTTTCTTTGGAGGGACTTTTCCATTAAAGTCAACTATGAAAACAACAGGGGGCGCGGCTTTTTTCCCATAGTTAATCCAGCGGAGGATACCCAAATGGGTGTGTGCAAGTGTTTTTTGAGGGTACCCCTGTTTGGTGGTTTAAAAGAGAACCCAAGGAGCAGCGTTGGGTCAATTTTGGGGGTCCAAATCCTCAAAAAGTGACACGAGGATTGCTTGGGTGTTCGGCTGACTTAGTTGTTGGTAACCTAGGTTACAACGTACTTTTGAGTTTCCGTTCAGTGGGGTCAATCGTGTTATGGGTTAGAACCCAGGTTACCAACCAACTGTCCTGGGGTTCAACCCCCATTAAAAGCATGGTTGACCCAATTTGGATGATGAACAAATCCGCACACCATGTAGGTAAATACTGGTTATATGAAGCCGACCATTGTTTTTCATGGTGGCAACTGAACCCCAAACACATAGCTTGCCGAAGACCCAAGGAAACCAATCAGACCTTAGGCTCAGATGGCCGTCTGCACGGCCACGCTGGATGCCGCCATTGGGCTTCATGGAAACTCTTTGCGCAGCCTCGACTTCATCGTGGGCCTGGGGCACAACTCTGACGCCGGGGAACGGGCTTCTTGGTGGCTTTAACCATCCGGTTCCTTAGCTTTTGAGCTTAGTTGGCTTAGTGATTGGGTTTCCGAATTTCACCCACAAGTTAATTTTCGCAGGGGATCTGAAAACGGACAGCCCAGGTTTCTCACCTGCCAATTCGACCAGGAACATTTTTTCTGGAGCCTGGGTGGCTTCTCTTTAGCTTCCCGCCATCAACAAGTACCCTTTGAGACACACGCCACCCCTCTGCAAGCGTGCGTGCTTCTTTGTCTCGGCAGCAAGAAAAAGAGCCTGCAAAGGTGTCCAGGTAGGTTTTCTGCCGTCTCGCGGCGTGGCCTTTTGGCCATCTGCCAAGGCCCCTGGCAGTTCCTTCCCCCAAAATCTTCCAAAGTGAGCTGATAAGACCGGATCCAAATGCTGGGGATTTTTTGTGCCACTCGGTGTGATCAGAAAGATCAAGCTGTGAATTTGAAGATTCGGAACCACCTATTGTGCTTGGTTACATGAATCCAACGACCGGATTTTGAGGTCCATTTCGGCTGAATATTTGGCCTGTTGGTGTTAAAGGGAATCTATCACTTGCATTTCTCTCGGGGTAAGGCCAACGGAGGTCCCTTCAAGTTCATGCCCCTGTGTCTCTCTGGGTGCCCCTTTTGGTATTCAAATTTGGAAACCAAAAGAACGCACAAACCAATGTGCCAAATCCATTTCGGCAAATCCGATGTTCTCCCCGCCAAATGCCTAGATGGTCCAACAGGGATGCCGAAGCGGTCAGCTTTGACCCCGAATTAACCACCAACTAAGCCCCGTTGCCAATCATTTGAATGCTACTCGCTAAGCGTCTTCCCCTCGGGTTGTTTTTGTGTGACGGCTAGCCCACAGGCTCCAGGAACCTATAGGCCCCTGGTATTGACCCCAAGTTCCTTTGTCAATTGAACGCAATTTTTCGGCTTCATTGGATTGCGTCACGGTTGCCTGAACCAAATTGGCACGAAGTTGTCTCTGACGAATCATCGGCATCGATCTCGGGCCTGGGCTGACTTGGATCACAAAGTGCTAGTTGTAAAGCTGAGAGGGTCCTCACACAGGGACGCACAAGACCCATAAAGAATCATCCCTTCCACGGGCGCGTCCCAGAATATGAACTCGTACAGACAGTTGGAATTCCCTTTTGAAGACAATTCAAAAGATGTGCCTCTGAATTTGGACGTTTGTTGGAAACTTGGATGCACCCAGACGAACCTACCTGTGCCATGAAGGTGCATGTTTACTTGCCCAGTGGAGCTGGTTGCTCCATAGAAGTTACATCGGCGACGCCCATCAGCAAGCTAAAGGATGCAGCAGAGCAGCACTTCCAGCGCCGCTTGCAGCTCACTGCGAAAGGCCAGCAGCTCGATTTGACAGCCACGGTGAACGAGGTTGGGCTGCAAAATGGGGTCGTGGTGACTGCGGTTGTGCAGTTGGGCAAATTGGCTGCCACCCAAAGGGCATTTGCACTGTACGGCCACGGGGGCGAGGTTGTGACGTGGGGTCATCCAGACAGTGGCGGAGAAAGCAGCCGGGTGCAAGAGCAGCTGAGGAACGTCCAGCACGTCCAAGCAACTGTCGATGCTTTTGCTGCCATTCTAGAATTTGGAGCTGTTGTGACCTGGGGTCATCCGGAATTTGGCGGAGACAGCAGCAAGGTGCAAGAGCAGCTGAGGAACGTCCAACACATCCAAGCAAGAGGCTGTGCTTTCGCTGCCATTCTTGAATCCGGAGTTGTTGTGACCTGGGGTGATGCAGAATGCGGCGGAGACAGCAGCTATGTGCAAGAGCAGCTGAGGAACGTCCAGTGCATCCAAGCAACTGCCGGAGGGTTTGCTGCCATTCTTGAATTTGGGGCTGTTGTGACCTGGGGTGATCCAAAGAGGGAGGGGACAGCAGCCATGTGCAAGAACAGTTGAGGAACGTCCAGCACATCCAAGCAACCCGCTTGGCTTTTGCTGCCATTCTTGAATCTGGGGCAGTTGTGACCTGGGGTCATCCAGAATATGGCGGAGACAGCAGCCAGGTGCAAGAGCAGCTGAGGAACGTCCAGCACAGCCAAGCAACTGAACGTGCTTTTGCTGCCATTCTTGAATCAGGGGCTGTTGTGACCTGGGGTCATCCAGAATATGGCGGAGACAGCAGCCAGGTGCAAGAGCAGCTGAGGAATGTCCAGCACATCCAAGCAACTGGCTTTGCGTTTGCTGCCATTCGTGAATCAGGGGCTGTTGTGACCTGGGGTTGTTCACACTCGGGCGGAGACAGCAGTCAGGTGCATGAGCAGTTGAGGTTGAATCTGTTGTAACATGATTTGCGCATTTGTGAGACACTGAAAGCGTGCTAAAAGGGTGGAGCAATAGGCTAACTGCACAGTTGGGCCTGGATTTGAGGTGCCCATGGCGTATTGGTGTATATCCTGAGAGGTATTTGAACTCCGCAGGCGTGAGTGTTCTGAAACAAGTATTGCTGACTCTGGATCTGCATGTATTACCGCGAGATCACCAAAGCGAATTCACCTTTTGATCAGACCTTTTGGTTTGCCTTGGAATCGGTTCCCATTTTTTGGGAATCCACCAGGTGATGATTGATTTCCCAGTCACTGATAGGCACAAATGGGTTCCCTTTCTGAGGGGAGGATTCGACTGATTCGTGGACCGGTTCTATTTGTTTTTCAGGTTGTGGCCCCGGCGGTTCTGCAGATGTTGGAAGACCTTGGGCTCTTCAGCTCGGAAGGAGAGGCGCTTGTGCCTGGGCAAGCGGAAGCGGGCTGGGGCCACCCTTCGGGGCTGTTTTTTGGGGCTGTTCGCAGGTGAAACATCCAAATTCTGCGCGGCTTGTTCTGCTCTGCTATTGGGTAACGGATCTTTAGACACGACCACTTTTTGCATACTCCTCATATTTCCCATTAAACTGCGAAAAGTTATAATCAATTTCTTGCTGGGGGATCTACAGCACCGGGTGGAAAGGAGGGCCAAAAATCTCTCACGTGTCTTTCTAGATCCCAGGCGTTTCGCCCATATAGTAGGCAACCCTTCGCTATTTTTGCTCATCCAACAGCTGAAAGCAATGCGGTATAGGCTCCGGGGTGGTCCGGCGCGGCTCTGAGGTAAGGTTCCGCAGGGTTCCGCGAGGGTTCCGCGAGAGGTCCGCGAGAGGTCCGCGAGGGTTCCGGGATGCGCGGGGCGGTTCCGAGGAGGGCTCTGCGAGGTTCCGCGAATTCTGCCCTGGGCACTGGCTATTAATTGTAATCAATTTAGAAATGTGTACGTTTATCTTTGTTGATTTGGCTTGTTTCTATTGATACTATTAATATATCCTGGGACCCCATATGGCAGTTTGTTTTTACGTCATACGCTTTTGACCGAAAAGAATTGCCATACGGATTTTTACGTGTTGTTTTTGTTTAAACAACGTGTCGAAAAAATATGGTTTCATACGGGTGATTTACGCAAATGACCGAAACATAATGGCCATACGGACAAATACGGCCAAATACGGGAGTCTGACCGAAAAAAAGTAAAACACAAACACAAAAAGAAACAGCCATACGGGGTGCCAGGATGCTTTGAAGCTGGATTGAACACGCATTTTGATCTGACATTGCGAAGTTTCTCTTGATTTGGACGGTGCAGTTTCTTTTGATTTGGACGTTGCAGTTTCGATTGATTTGACACAAGGCCAGTTCAATCATGTTTCTGCACATGCTTCTCCAGCCGCATCTATTTTTGATTTGTGCAGTTCCAAAGCTACATACATCTAAATATAGCATATATAGACAAACGTACACACTTCTATGCTAAGGCAATAAAGATTTGTGCGTGTTTGCGTCAATGTGTGTTGAAATGTTTTGTCAGTAAATATCATTTACCCATGGGGCTGCTACATTGTTATTTCCCTTAAGCCCCTGGCACAAGAGTATGTCTTTGTGGAGGCCCAGTCGCAGACAAAAAGCTTGAACTACGAGTTGAGGACCTATTTGCTCGATGCCTAGTAAGCCGGAAAACCCACATGTTGGTGAGCCCCGTGCTAAAAGCATGTTAAACTGAAAAACTATCAAATCAATTTGCGGAAGGCCTAGTGGGCAGTAAATCTGAGGACTGAAAAACATGAACCAAATTTCGGGATGCCCAAGAGACAACACAAACATCACCATGACAAAATGCGGACTGCCCAATGAACGGGAAGCTTGAAGAACTATGAAACAAGGAAGTTCGTTCAACTGTTGCTTGCCAAACGGATTTACACGCTGCATCTTTTTTTAGACACCTCGCTGACGGGTGTAAGGTTGACCAAGTTTGAGGAAACCAAAGGACAAAGATTTCGTGATATGGGGACCACACATGTTTATGGGTGAAACAGTTTTGAAGAAATGCAGAGGAACACTTCTGGATTACACTCTTTTTTTTTGGCCTTAGAATGTTGCACGCCACATGTTTGACCAATCATGGTAACGATAAATATTAATGGATGAACATGTTTGGAACAAAAAGTTAAGGAACATGTTGTGGACTACAACTTCCCGTGGCCTGAAAAGATTGCGGGCCAAACATTTGCAAACCAATCTCACTGCATGTTTTTAGGGACGAGCATAGTTTGACCATGTAGACCAAGAAAACTTTTGAAGTAGAACTTCCTGTGGCTTCAGACAACACGTGGTGTACTACGACTCCTGTGGCCTCGACATTCTGCCCTCCAAATGTTTGACACCAGGAAGGGGTGACTACGAGGTTTTATGGGCCAAAATTATTTGAACATGGGGTTAAGGGGCATTGCTTGACTGCAATTTCCAGTGGCCTCAACATTTAACAGTCCAAATATTGGACAGAAACAATGGCGATTACACGTTCATGCATCATATTTTGAGAACTTGATTCACGGAATGTCTTTGGACTACAATTTCCTGTGGCCTCAAGATGTTGCAACTAGATGACAAGCAAATTGATTACAACTTGTTTGTAGGTGAACATAATTTGGAAACCCAAAGCTAAGGAAAGACAAATCTGGTTTCTGCAGCTTTCTGTGGCCTCCAATTCAGCCCTTTGTCAGACACAGTGTGGCCACATTTCTAGTGAACGTAAATTGACTAATCATGGGTCACAGCCTTTCCTCAAGGAATTCCCTTTCCCAAGGGGTCCTGGTTGCCATTGGTGGCGCCCTCTTTTCAAGGGTTTGATTTTCATTGGGATGGCTCAACATGATTTGCCATAGAATTAAAATTCACATAGGGAAAATATTGAGTGTTCCATATTTTGTTGGGGGGCTTTCAATTCCACATGCTTCCGAAAAATCAAGCTTGATCAATTTTGGTCAAATTTGATCAAGTTCATTTCTTTAGCTGGTATGTCTGCACAAACATAAACTAATACGATTTTCCAGAAGTCCAGCACCATTCACCCTGGCCAAGGGACCAATTGGAAGCCAACAGCCCCTGTGTGTTTTCTGGTTCATCATGTTTGTTGGTAAAGGCCCATGCCATCAAACCCAAGGCAAATGCAATGAAGATCAGAAAGTTTCCTTGCGAAAAGGGAACAACAAGGTGATGAAGTGTTCTTTGAAATGAGCTGCGGACTTTTACCAGACCTGCAAAGATGCAAAGATGCAAAGATGCAAAGATGCAAAGATGCAAAGATGCAAAGATGCAAAGATGCAAAGATGCAAAGATGCAAAGATGCAAAGGAAATCAAACAAAACAAGTGAAGGAGCCAAGAAACTGCAGGGCAATGCTGGGGAATCAGGCGAATTCCAGGTCTTGGACGTGGTCTCAGCCAAAGGCAACAGTAAAAGAAAGGAATAGGACAAATGCACAGGAATGCAAAAAAAAGTATTGATGCTGCCTTGCAGCTGGCCAAAACCAAGTTTCTGACGATATGTGATTGACGTTCTTAGGACGTGTCCATGGATTTTCTATGCATGTTGTATGGACTTTCTATGACGGTTCTATGATGTTCTGATTTGTGTACGCTTTTGCCATGCACTGGTTATGCACTTGTTATACACATTCTAACAAGTGAATAGATAATGCATAGAGACCAAGGGAACATGCACAAGACATGCATAGATAATGCAAAGAAGCTGCATAGACAATGCGTTTAAAATGCATACAAGTTATAATAATCGAGCACTCTTGGAACATTCATGGAAAATCATACAACACACATGACACGCATATATAGGTTCCAACAGGCGTTCACGGAAAGTTCGCTGCTACATCACAGAAATGCATGCGCCATGCACTCTACGAACTTGCTGTCAATGAGCACGTGTGTGTGTGTGTGTGTCGTTTTTTGTGTGTGTGAGCGGAAAAGGGGTGCCATCCCTGACCATCACTCACAGCAAGTGTTTACGACAACCAAGAGGGGTCAAGTCAAGGGTCAAATTCAAGAGGTGGGATCTGAGATTAAGCCTTAAATTTCCAACACTAGGTTAAGTACTGGAAATTGAAGATTATGGCTTGGCAATTCTAAATTTGGGATTGGCAATAGTAAATCAAGCACTGGAAATCTAAGAATCTAAGATTCTGTCTTTGCGATGTCAAATTTAGATTTGTCAATAGTACGGGACAGTCCCATTCTGATGGGGAAGACTCCAGGACATCCAAAATTCACAAATGAAGTTGCAAACTTCCAAACAACGAACGATGCAAGAAGAACAACATGTCAGCAACCAAGTCCCATGTTTGGTTAGTTTTAGATGAGTAAATGGATAATTACCAAGAAACTTCGAGAGTTTCCAAAACAAACGTACCAAACCTGTCGGCAACCACGTTCCAGATTACATGCAACAGCCAACTCAGTAAGCGCAACATTCCCCAACAAACTCGAGAAGTCCACACACAATAAACACAAATCAACAAAACACATAAGATGTCAGCAACCATCCAAACAAACCATCAGTACATGCCAACATCATACCCTAAAAGAAACGGGTGTTGGTTGCAAGGGGTATGTTTAATTGGCTCGACCATTTGTGAGTTTCTGCGACATGAATCAGGAAACTCCCCCCTGGAGAAAAAAAAAAAAAAAACATTAGACCCCCAGAACCATGGTAATTATTTGAAGGAATCTGCTGAGAGGAGCTCCTTCCTTGCTGAGTTCCTTGCAAGCAGAAAGAGAAGGGTAATGGAATTCGACCTGGTCCTTCAGATTAATCCGAAGTTGACATTGTTGGGTCCCCTCAAATTCTTTGGGGGCCCCAAACATATGAATCCGTCACCCACATGGGTTTTGGGCATAGCTCACGAAGGAAGCCACGATTGCTTTCTTCAAGTCCGATTGCAAACCTTGGTGGCTCCCAGCCATCCGGTTCCTTAGCTTTTTAGTTTTGAGTGTTTACTGGGGATTTCTATTTAACCCACTGGTCGGTTGAAGCTCGCGTCTCAGACAAAGTGCTTCAGTCAGCTGGGAGGGTCCCAGTGAAGGACTTTTCGAAGGCATGTGTCCAAGGATTCAAACCGCAAAGGGTTGGGATATGTAAACGCTTCATTTGTGGTTCTGGTTTGGCATCTTGATCAGAAGACACTTCCTGCGCGATGAAGGTGGATGTGTACCTTCCCAATGGAGATAGTTGCTCCGTGGAAGTCTCGCCGGCGATACTCGTCAGCGAGCTAAAGGCTGCAGTGCAGCAGCACTTCCGGCGCCCCTTGAAGGTCACTGCGAAAGGCCGGCGGCTCGATTTGACGGCCACGCTGAGCGAGGCCGGCTTGCAAGATGGGGATGTGGTGACTGCGGTTGTGCAGCTTGGCAAACTGGCTACCACTAGTGCGTTCGCTTTGCATGGCCACTGGGGCGAGGTTGTGTCCTGGGGCGAGCCACAACATGGCGGAGACAGCAGCCAGGTGCAAGGGCCAATGTCCAGCACATGCAAGCAGCCGACGCTGCTTTTGCTGCCATTCTGGAATCTGGGGCTGGGCTGTTGTGACCTGCGGTGATCCACGCTTTGGCGGAGACAGCAGCCAGGTGCAAGAGCAGCTGAGGAACGTCCAGCACAGCCAAGCAACTGAACGTGCTTTTGCTGCCATTCTTGAATCTGGGGCAGTTGTGACCTGGGGTCATCCAGAATATGGCGGAGACAGCAGCCAGGTGCAAGAGCAGCTGAGGAACGTCCAGCACAGCCAAGCAACTGAACGTGCTTTTGCTGCCATTCTTGAATCAGGGGCTGTTGTGACCTGGGGTCATCCAGAATATGGCGGAGACAGCAGCCAGGTGCAAGAGCAGCTGAGGAATGTCCAGCACATCCAAGCAACTGGCTTTGCTTTTGCTGCCATTCTTGAATCTGGGGCTGTTGTGACCTGGGGTATGAGCAGCTGAAGAACGTGCAGCACATCCAAGCAACTGTTCATGGTGGTTTAGGTGGTGCTTTTGCTGCCATTCTTTGCGACGTGGGGTAGTCCAAATCGTGGTGGAGACAGCAGCAAGGTGCAAGAGCAGCTATGGAACGTCCGGCACATCCAAGCAACTGAACGTGCCTTTGCTGCAATTCTTGAATGTGGGTCTACCTGGGGTCATCCAGAAAGTGGCGGAGACAGCAGCCAGGTGCAAGAGCAGCTGAGGAACGTCCAGCGAATCCAAAGAACTGACGCTGCTTTTGCTGCCATTCTTGAATCTGGGGCTGTTGTGACCTGGGGTATTCCTGACTTCGGCGGAGACAGCAGCCAGGTGCAAGAGCAGCTGAAGAACGTCCAGCACATCCAGTCAACTGCCGTGCTTTTGCTGCCATCCTTGAATCTGGGGCAGTTGTGACCTTGGGTCGTTCACATTTCATTATGTGTATTACATTAAATACGTATATTACATACATTACGTACACGTTGCATACGTAAAATGTATGACATACATCACCTACATAAGCTACATGACATACGTAGCAGAGCAAAATATACGTGCATAAATTCATCCATCCATCTATACATACATACATTTCATGACATTACATTACATTACATTATATTACATTACATTATATTACATTACATTACATACATACATACATGCGTACATACATTACATTCCATTACATTACATTACACTACACTACATTACATTACATTAATACATTACATACATAAATACATGCATACATACATACATACATGCATGCATGCATACATACATTACATTACATGCATACATACATTACATTACATTACATTACATTACATTACATTACAGTACATTGCATTACATTACATTACATACATTACATACATAAATGCATACATACATACATACATACATACATACATACATACACATGCATAGATGCATAAATGCATAAATGCATACCTACACACCATACACGCATGCAAGCATGCATAAATGCATACGTACATCATACTTACATACATACACACGTACACACCTACACAGACAGACGTTTATACATACATACGTGTATACATACATACAGCTATTGATTTATACATACATACATACATACATTCATACATGCATGCATGCATACATGCATACATACATACATACATACATACATACATACGCGTGTACGCACGCACGCACGCACGCACGCACGCACGCACACACACATACAGACATACACACACATACACACAACTCCAGGCATACATTCATGCATATGCATTCATGCATATGCATTCATGCATATGCATTCATGCATATGCATTCATGCATGCATGCATGCATGCATGCATGCATGCATGCATGCATGCATGCATGCATGCATATGCATGCATACATACATACATACATACATACATACATAATATCCATATGTTATACATGCAATGCATACACACATATACATACACACATGCATGCATGCATACATGGCTACATACATACATATATACATAGATCCAGACATACATACAGACATGCCGGTATACAGGTTTACATGTATGTTGTTTGGAGCGGGCTTCCAAAATGAGAAAATTCGACGCCCAAAAAGTATGCATCACTGCCTTGCACAAATACGGCCATGCCTTGAAGAATTACGGCCGCGCCGGAAAGTTACGGCCGAATGTGCAAAAAACAGTGTTTCTAGAACACCAAGGAAAAAGGCATCTTTTCAGGTACCAGCAAGTTATTGAATAGAATCAATAGCCGCTGTCCAGGGTGCAAGGGTTCCGGGGATGCACGGGTCGGCTCCCAGCAGAGTTTGCCGTTCCGGGGATGCAACAAACGGTTCCGAGGGGTTCCGCGAGTGCATGCGTGGTGCTGGGGATATCTTTTGAGCTGGTTTTCAAGGGTGGCAAGGTCTTGGTTACCAGAACCCCAAGCCCTTACCTACCCCGGTTTCCATGGATCCACGTTGTCATTCTCTCGAGAACTTCCGCCCGAGCCGAGGTGCGGCTTCCCAAGCATCAGCTGGTGGCCTTCGCCTCGAGCCCCGAGAATTTTTTCGGCCGGAAAAGCCCGCGATTCGGTCGCCGGGGGCGGAGGGGCGGAGGGGCGGAGCTGGAGAGGTGGATTTGTGGTGCTTCCGGCTGTTGGCTTGTTTTTGGTTTTATGGCTTACCTCTTAAAAGCACAACTTTTCAACTTTTTGGGTAACACGGGCTATATGTCTGTAAAAGATTAACTTTTTGGGTTTTTGTGGTTCAACCCAGAGTTTAGAGGGGTGATTGAACAAACATGTGAGTCCATTTGCGTGTTCAAGCTTGCGTGCTGAACGGCTGTGCTCCCAGCTGTTCGCCGGTGCGGTGCGCTGGCTCCGTTGAGACCTTCCGGGCGCTGGCCGTGCCCTGAAGACCCGGCGCTTTGGTGCGGGATTTGTTTCAAGCCGGTGGGATACGTCGGAGGACTGGGACTGGGACTGAGATCTCAATCCAAGTGGCCAGATCCAGTGGACGAGCGGGTACTAGTAGGATAATTTTCGGCGCCCACATTGGCAGGTTGAGGCAGCATGGGGAAGGAACGAGAAAGCTCAGTGTGTTTACTTTCTGTGATTCCCATCGACACCCTGCAAATTGCACCCCATAGGCAATTGAGCAAAGCAAATTGTTTTTTCAAGAGTCCTTAGAGAGCCTCCCGACTAGGAATCACCGAACTAGGCTCCGGGGACGGGGCATTTGTGAAGTTACTTTTTCCAGACCCAGATTGGATTATCGCATGGGGAAACAGTCGTAAACACGGGGGGGGGGGGGAAAAATGACCACACACCTCGACGCTATTTGAATTGTCGTGAACTCTCGCACCATTCGAGAGACGCCCCCTCCCCCACACAAATGTTCATGTTGCCGTGAGAAACCTTATGTGCCATGAAGGTGGATGTTCACGTGCCCAGTGGAGACGGTTTCGCCATAGCAGTCTTACCGGCAACACTCATCAGCGAGTTGAAGGCTGCAGCGCAGCAGCATTTCCAGCGCCGTTTGAAGCTCACTGCGAAAGGCAGGCAGCTCGATTTGACGGCCACGCTGAGCGAGGCCGGCTTGCAAGATGGGGATGTGGTGACTGCGGTTGTGCAGCTTGGCAAACTGGCTGCCACTAGTTCTGCGTTCGCTTTGCATGGCCACGGGGGCGAGGTTGTGACCTGGGGCGAGCCACAACATGGCGGAGACAGCAGCCAGGTGCAAGGGCAGCTGAGCAATGTCCAGCACGTCCAAGCAAATGGCCAAGCTTTTGCTGCCACTCTTGAATCTGGAGCAGTTGTCACCTGGGGTCGTGCAGAATGGGGCGGAGACAGCAGCCAGGTGCAAGAGCAGCTGAGGAACGTCCAGCACATCCAAGCAACTGAGCAGGCTTTTGCTGCCATTCTTGAATCTGGGGCTGTGGTGGCTTGGGGTGACCCTACTTTCGGCGGAAACAGCAGCACAGCAGCCAGGTGCGGGAGCAGCTGAGGAACGTCCGGCAGATCCAGTCAACTGCCGGTGCTTTTGCAGCAATTCTCGAATCAGGGGCTGTTGTGACCTGGGGTCATCCACGAGGCGGCGGAGGCAGCAGCCACGTTCAGGATCAGCTGAGGAACGTCCAGCACATCCAAGCAACTGAGCAGGCTTTTGCTGCCATTCTTGAATCTGGGGCTGTGGTGACTTGGGGTGATCCAGACTGGGGCGGAGACAGCTGCCAGCCGCACGAGCAGCTGAGGAACGTCCAGCTCATCCAATCAACTGCGCTTGGTGCTTTTGCTGCCGTACTTGAATCAGGGGCTGTTGTGACCTGGGGTCATCCACAAGGCGGTGGAGACAGCAGCCAGGTTCAGGAGCAGCTGAGGAGCGTGCGGCACATCCAAGCAACTCTATGCGCTTTTGCTGCCATTCTTGAATCCGGGGCTGTTGTGAGCTGGGGTAATCCAGGCTTTGGCGGAGACAGCAGCCAGGTGCAAGGGCAGCTAAAGAACGTCCGGCACATCCAAGCAACTGACCAGGCTTTTGCTGCTATTCTTGAATCCGGGGCTGTTGTGAGCTGGGGTAATCCAGGCTTTGGCGGAGACAGCAGCCAGGTGCAAGGGCAGCTGAGGAACGTCCGGCACATCCAAGCAAATGGCTTTGCTTTTGCTGCCATTTTGGAGTCAGGGGCTGTTGTGACCTGGGGTGGTGTAACGCAGGGCGGAGACAGCAGCCAGGTGCGGGAGCAGCTGAGTAACCTCCAGCACATCCAAGCAACTCAGTCCGCTTTTGCTGCCATCCTTGAATCTGGGCTTGTTGTGACCTGGGGTCATGCAGAAGCCGGTGGAGACAGCAGCCAGGTGCAAGACCAGCTCAGTTTGAATCTGTAGCTGCATGGAACCCGCAACCCTTCGGCGCTAAAAGAGCATGCAACCCTTCGGCATGCTGAAAGAAGAGAATGCGAGGCGTGCGCAACGCCTGGAACCCGCAGAGCGGGGTGGATCATGTGAGTGTTTTTAAGTTGTTTCTTCGGTTCTGCTCATTCGGCCTTTAAGAGCTTTATGCTTTAAGCTTTGTGGGTTGGAAAGTAGCAGATCCCGATTACCCATGCATATAGGTCACCAGCGGTTTGTTCAACTTTTGGTTTTTCAAGGATCCACGGCAAGATCCCGACCCGGGCTTGGACCCCAAGCGAGACATCGAGGCCGTCGAAAGCAAAGGTGGCCGGTCCATCTCGGTGTGCGAAGCTTCCCTGGAGCATGCGGTGGCAGAGGTGGGTTTTTAGGGGACCCATGGGACCTCCAAAATGGTGCCTGGAAAAAAAACACAAAAAAGAGCCTGGAAAAAGACACAAGCTTGAAGATCTGAAGAACCAGACCAATTCGGTCCGGCATGTGTCAGAACAAGGATCTGGACACTGCAAAATGGGCGTTGCTTTCCTTGTCAGGTGGGTTGTGTGTTGAATTAAGGGTTTGACCATCCAAAATTGGCTTGGCTTTCCCTTTCGTTCCTGTGAAACCAAGCTTAAGGCTAGCCACATGGGTTGCAGTCCTTGTTTTCCGAAACCTGTTTTTGTCAGAAGCCTGCTGTTCCTTTCAGAAACCTGCTGTTTTTTCGGAAACCGGTTTGTTTTGCAGAAACCTGTTGTTTCGTCAGAAACCGTGTTTTTCTTCAGAACCCTGCCCTGTACAAGAGTTTCACGGTCATGTTTACCCTGTGGCCAGTCAAACGAAACCCAAGTTCACATTATTTGTCTCCCTTTGGAGGGCCCCGGGGAGCCCAAAGCAACCAGTTGCTTTTTGCTCTCTGTATTCCTTCCTGGCACCCCGTATGGCGGTTGTTTTTCGGTCAAACTCCCGTATTTGGCCGTATTTGCCCGTATGGCCATGATTTTTCGGTCATTTGCGTAAATCACCCGTATGAAACCCATATATTTTCGACATGTTGTTGAAAAAAGCCGTCAAAATCTGTATGGCCATTTTTGGTCGGTCAAAGGCGTATGACCAAAAAAACAGCCATATGGGGTCCCAGGTTGGTATAAGCCGTTGAATCCTGCTGGTTTCAATTGAAACCTTACCTGTATCATCTTAAATTTCTTAAGCAAATTAGATGGTGTTCATAATTGAATTTAAGTCGGTTTTTTTTTTCTCCTTTTTGTTTAAAAAACAAAAATGTAAAACATCACATATATATATATATATATTATTAATATATATATACACTAAAAAAGTTGTTGTCCAAAACTGACGGCAAATCCAAAGTTGAACTGTGGCTCCCTTCGGCACGCAACCGTGCAAGTCTCAAGTCTGGCGCACGGTCCATGTTACCGATCGGGGGCGCAGGACGGTGTTCTGCCTGCATTGAAATTGTAAAGCCAGACGTGCAGACTCAGAAACTGGTTTTTTAGCAACCCGTTTTTTGTTCAGAAGCCTGTTGTTTTCAGAAGCGCGTTGTTTTTTTCTCCAGAAAACAGTTTGTTCGTTTGTTTGTTTCTCAGACACTTTTTTCAGAAACCTTTTTTTTCAGAAACCTGGCTGTTCTGCTTTTTCAGAAGCTTGCTTTTCAGAAGCATGTGTTTGTGCAGAAACCTGTTTTTTAGTTTGTCTTCCCTCACAAACCTCTTGTTTTATTCAGACACATGTTGTTTTTCAGATTCCTGTTTTTGTTCAAAAATATGTTGTTGTTTTTTTTCAGACACGTGTCTTTTTTAGAACAATGTTAGTTGTGTTTTTTCTCAGAAACCTGTTTGTTCAGATTTGTTTTGTTCAGAAACAGTTTTTTTTTTCAATAACCGTTTGTTTCTTCAGAAACTTGTTTTCTTCAGAAACCTGCTTGTTAGTTTTGCTCTCAGAAACCTTTTGTCAGAAACCTTTTGTCAGAAACCTGTTTTTGTTCAGAAACCTTTTTTGTTTCAGAAACTTGTATTTGTTTTCAGAAACCTGTCTTTTTTGTCAGAAACCTGTTGTTTTGTTTCCTGCTTTTTATTTTTAAGAAACATGTTTTTCTTCGGAAACCTGTTTGTTAGTTGTTTTTTTTTGTTTTCCGCAGAATCCTGTGTGTTAGTTGTTTTTCCTCAGAAACCGCTTTTTGTCAGAACCTTTTTTTAGCAGCCTGTGTTTTTTTTGGTCTTTCCCCGCATTGTTGTCAGCAACCAGTTTTGTTTGTTTTTGTTCAGAAACTTGTTGTTTTTTCAGAAACTGTCCAAAGTTTGGTTTTGCGGTTGAAAGGACAGGGCCAAAGCTGGCCAGGTTACTGTGGTAGGATGAGCGCCGTTCTCACCGAACAAAAGCCAACAACATGTGGGGTGTCTTGTTTTCAGATTGGACCCCACAAAACTGCGGTTTTGCTGCTTTGCTAGTGGTTTCCCTTCAAAACCACCAAACATGTGGGCCGGAGGACAAAGCCATGGATCCAAAAATGGGGACCCCCCCCTTCAAAAAAGAGAGGAAACAACATGGGAAGGGTATCCTTGTTTCAAACCCAAGGGTACCCTCAACAAAACCGATGGGACTTCGCCATGTTCGCCCAAAAACAACCACCAAATGGGCATGGGCGTCTTTCTTTTCTCCGCTTCCTTTGTGTTTTCCCTTCGGCATCCACCTAAAAATCGAAACCAACCTAAAAATCGAAACCAACTCAAAAGAAAACACGAAAGAGGCTCAACGGCTTTCACTTGACCGGGCAGATTGACTTGGATTGACTTGGGCTCCCTGCCTGCTCAAAGCTAGGCGCTGGTTTGCTACGAAGCAGTGGTTCAAGCAGTTGGTTTCGTGTTCTTTTTTCTCGCGGAAGGAGAAACCCATGGGTTCCTTTTTCGGTGCCCAGCGGCCACAGGTAGCGCCTTGGACCGGGAAGCATGAGCAACGCTGTCATAAGTCTCCGCCATGTGCTGATGGGGTTTGAAGTGGTGAGATGACCCACAAAAGCCATGGTCATAAGTCTCCGTTCAGATTGTGTTTGCTTTGTTTTTTTCCGGGCTTGCTCACCACCTGAGTACCCTCCTTTAATCAGGTGGAAACCTTAACCCATGGCTTTGCCTTGTTTGGCGCTTCTCGACCCTCACAGCTTCCATTTGCTGAAAATAGTATGTTCAATGTTCTCCGAAAAGTGCTAAAGGGACCGATTTCACCGCTGGAAGTAGTTGCTCATTTTTTTTCCCAGGGGACGAAAAAGCAAATGGATGGTTGCGAACCTACACAACCATGGGGGTTGGACTTAAAACGGGAAGGAATCGGAAAACGGGTCCTCAAAACTTGGCGGAAAAAACGATATGGTGTTGTTGTTTCTCCGAGTGGTTGTAAAGGGACTTGTTTTCACTACTGGAAGTTGCTCATTTCTTTCCAGGGGACGAAAAAGCAAATGGATGGTTGCGAACCTACAAACACATGGGGTTTGGGCTTAAAACAGGGGATCTGGAAAAGGGCAGCCCGATTTTGTTCACTTGCCAATTTGACGCGGAAGATCGTGTTTTCTTTTCTTCTTTTTTCTGGAGGCCTGGGTGGCTTCTTAGCCATCCAAAACGGGTACCCTTCGGCCACAAGGAAAAAAGCGCGAAGGTGTCCTGCCGTCTCGCGGGGTGGCCTTTTGGCCCCTGGTAGTGCCTTGCCCCATATTCATTGGCCTTTGGAGTCAGCTCGACAGCTTCGAGGCTTTGATCACATCTTTGCTGGTGGATCAGTTTGTTCCGTTTGAGAGCCCCAGTTTTGACCATGGATGCAACGTGTCCCATGTTGAGAAATATATTCTTCTTTTCTTCGTGGTTTTTCCTTTTGATGATCCCCCATATGAGGAATCTCTTGCATGGGTGTGTCCAAGGATGGGAGGTCTCGCAAATGATTGGGATTCCTGTGGAGAACTTTACAAGGCAACTCAAAAGACCCCAGTCAATATACATGTTGTCTCATTCCAGCCAGAAAGACCTTTCTGTGCCATGAAGGTGGATGTGCACTTGCCCAGTGGAGATAGTTGCTCCATAGCAGTCTCACCAGAGACGCCCATCAGAGAGCTGAAAGCTGCAGCGCAACAGTATTTCAAGCGCCGCTTGAAGCTCACTGCGAAAGGCCAGCTGCTGGATTTGACGACCACGCTAAGTGAGGCGGGCTTGCGAGATGGGGACGTGGTGACTGCGGTTGCGCAAATTGGCAAAGTGGCTGCCACCAGTGGCGCGTTTGCTTGGCATGACCACTGCGCGGTTGTGGCCTGGGGTGTTCCCGCGGATGGCGGAGACAGCAGCGGGCTCTTGCAGCCGAATGTCCAAGACATCCAATCAACTAGTGCTTCTTTCGGTGGTGCTTTTGCCGCCATTCTTGAATCTGGGGCTGTTGTGACCTGGGGTCATTCAAACTACGGCGGAGACAGCAGCCGCGTGCAAGAGCAGCTGAGGAACGTGCAGCACATCCAAGCAACTCACCATGCTTTTGCTGCCATTCTTGAATCCGGGGCTGTTGTGACCTGGGGCGATCCACAACGTGGCGGAGACAGCAGCCAGGTGCAGGAGCAGCTGAGGAACGTCCAGCACATCCAAGCAACTGGCAGAGCTTTTGCTGCCATTCTTGAATCTGGGGCTGTTGTGACCTGGGGTGATTCAAACTATGGCGGAGACAGCAGCCAGGTGAAAGAGCAGCTGAGGAACGTCCAGTGCATCCAAGCAACCCGCTGTGCTTTTGCTGCCATTCTTGAATCTGGGGCTGTTATGACCTGGGGCGATTCAGAATACGGCGGGGAGAGCAGCCGGGTGCAAGAGCAGCTGAGGAACGTGCAGCACATCCAAGCAACTCACCATGCTTTTGCTGCCATTCTTGAATCCGGGGCTGTTGTGACCTGGGGCGATCCACAACGTGGCGGAGACAGCAGCCAGGTGCAGGAGCAGCTGAGGAACGTCCAGCACATCCAAGCAACTGGCAGAGCTTTTGCTGCCATTCTTGAATCTGGGGCTGTTGTGACCTGGGGTGATTCAAACTATGGCGGAGACAGCAGCCAGGTGAAAGAGCAGCTGAGGAACGTCCAGTGCATCCAAGCAGCTGGCGCCGCTTTTGCTGCCATTCTTGAATCTGGGGCTGTTGTGTCCTGGGGTCATCCAGACTGGGGCGGAGACAGCAGACGGGTGCAAGGGCAGCTGAGGAACGTCCAGCGCATCCAAGCAACTGAGTGTGCTTTTGCTGCCATTCTGGAATCTGGGTTAGTTGTGACTTGGGGTCATCCAGACTATGGTGGAGAGAGCCGCCAGGTGCAAGAGCAGCTGAGGAACGTCCGCCTCATCCAAGCAACTGCGAATGGTGCGTTTGCTGCCATTCTTGCGTCCGGGGCTGTTGTGACCTGGGGTAATCCAGTATACGGCGCAGACAGCAGCCAAGTGCAAGAGCAGCTTAGCTGCTAGTCTTGCGCTGTTGAGCATGAGGACTAGAGCAAGTCTGTTGCGCCAAACCCGTGCTGAAAGAAGAGGACAACATGTGCACTCCACAATTCGATTTGGTTGCGCATGAACCTTCACAGCATGTTCCCTTTTTTCCCCTGACCTAGTAGGATTTTGTTCGAGGCCTTTGTGTTTGCCTCCACTCTTTGTTGGGATCACTTCCCGCATTTTTTCCCTAAGCATATTTACAGTCCACCTAATAAATATACTCGCCTTGGGGATGAAGGCTATATAAATGAAGAGGCGGGATGTGCCCAAGGGGCGTCACTGCAGTCCTTAGGTCAGACGTGGTTTTGCTTGGAGAAGGTAGAAAGGGGTTGTTTCTGATTAGTTTGGAATACAGAAGTTCAATAGGTGGAGTGTTGGTGTGTGTGTGTGTGTGTCTCGTTTTGGTTAAGCTGTAGTTTAGTATGGTCTAGTGTAGGTTCTGGCATGTTCGCCAATATGACTGCAGAGGGAGTCTGGGAGTTTTAGTATTGCCTTGCCCAAGTCTTTTTATATACGTGGACTTCTGTAGTGTAGCAAAGTTAACAGTTATTAGTAGGGAGAAGGATAAACGATTTGATCAGCCGTGGCAAATTTGCATATTTGAAGTCAAATGGGAAACCCTGATCGCCCCCTTACACCCCAAATATGAGGGAGTTCCTTTAACCTTGTTGAGGGCCTCAAATAATGAGGACTTGGGCTAGGGAAAGGCAAGATCCCAACCAAACCAAACACGGGGGCAAGATGTTTGGTTTGTGTCAGGCTGGGGCATCCCAGAAATCCTCGTACCCTTAAAATGAGCCTTTGAGCACCCCCCAAAAAAACAAGTGACCTGGACCCTCAAACTGCCAATAAAAGAGGGGGAAATCACCAACCATACTCTTGGGTTGCAATAATTCCCACTTTAAGTTAGACTTTCAGGGTCCAGGTCCATCTGAAAGTTTCCACTTTGCCAATCCAAGCGCTTCGGAAGTGAGGAGATCAATTGGACATATATTGATATGAGTGTTTCGGATATTCATCCCCCCCAAAGGAAAACAGAACAAACAACCAACAACATCTTTGGTGCTCCGGACAGTTATAGCGCATTCGAGCGCTTGTTTCTGCTCAAATCCAGTTCGAGCACTTTTTGAGGTTGCCTAGCTGCTTTGGTGAAGTGCCGAGAGAAAACCAACCCGCGACTCGAACGCAATTTCAGCGCTACTCGGGAACATTTTTTGCAACTAGGCGCAACTCCAAAAAGTGTGCAAAGCCAAAGCTCTGCCACGCAATCCACGTGTTTGCACGTGTTTGCATTTACCATTGCTCGCGCACTTATTTGCCACGAACGCTCGAGCAACCATTTGTGTATCAATGGGTCCTGCAGGAACAAACAAAAATACAACATGTTAGGCGGATGGAACCGGCCTTAGCAAGGATTGGAAGGCCCTGGGCTCTTCTGGTTTTTCGAAACGGAGGGGCCGGAATTCTTGAAAAGGTGGCAGGTAACCCTTGGTTGGTGGTTTGGACTGGTGGTTTGGATTGGTTTGGGGATTTGAACCTCTGGTTCTGGTAGAGGGCAAATCGGAAACATGATAAACACACGGAGCAGTGACACGGTGCCTGTTCAACCCTCAAGCGTGTGGAAGAGAACCCCCCCCCATTTGGCGCGGTGTGGCCGATTTCTAAGACCGGTTGATGGCGTTTGGCATGTTTCAGGGGTCGACAATACAAACCATTTACTACCATCATGACTCGGTTTGGACTCAAAGTGCCCCACAACCCCAAGAACTCAGAGTTCTGCGGACTCCTTCTGAGCATCAGCTGGTGGTCTGTCTCACCTCCGATGCGATGTCAATTCGGCGCTCGGAGAAGCGGCGGCGCGGCGCTTTCGCCGGTGAGCGATTTGCGGTGGGTGGATACCAGCAGCTTAAGGGGCTTGAGAGAGGAAGGTGTGGTGCAACTTCCAACTTGGGGAGTTGTTCAAGAAAGATAGGAGAGAACAGATGGTTGACAGACATGTGAGTCTGCAAAGACATTTGCATGTTTCGCAGAAAGACAGGTCCCGACCAGAGCACGGGGACGTGTGCATAAGCAGGTGGAGGTTCCACAAAGATATGTCACAAACATGCCTGCACAAGCTTGTGCCTTGCCCATGGCTGCTGTGTTCCCGGCTGTGAAGCGCTGGCTCCGTTGAGGTCGGATGCACTCGTTCCGAGCGCTGTTGGCCGTGCCGTTCACCCGGTCCTTTGCCAAGTCGGCGGGCAAGGGGGGCAAGGGAGGCAAGGGAGGCAAGGGGGGCAAGGGCAAAGGTGCCACAGGCGGCAAAGGCGGCAAAGGCGGCAAAGGCGGCAAAGGCGACCGCTTCGAGGAGGAGGAGGACAGCCATTTCTGGGCCCTTTCGACCACTTCGAATGGGAAGAGGAGTGACCTGGAATCAGAGGCCGCTTTGGCCAGAAAGGCTTTGAAGTGGCACCGGAAGGAGACTCAGTTCTCCGGTGAGGTGGACGACTCGTCCCTGAAACCCGGGACTTCCAGTTCCGAGGGTCGGTGGTGGGACACTTGGGAGGAGGACTGGGACGAGGGCTGGGACTGGGATCCCAAGTGGGAAGATCGAGTGGATGCGCTGGGGAAGGATGATCCCCGGCGCCCGCGGGGGCCACATTGCCAGGTTGAAGGCGTGGGAAGCAACGAGACAAGTCGCAGCCGTTTGTGCTCGGTTCCCATTGGCTAGACACCCTGAGAATTGCAAGCACATGAGAATTGCTGTAGTTCTTTGTATTCAGTTAATTACGTAGGAATGTTTGCTGAATCGAACAATGAGTGTCCGCTGGTTTGAGCACTTTCTAAACATAGGGCCGCTGGCCAATTGGTTGTTCGCCTTGGCGACTTTGTGGCTTTTGACTCTGTTCAAGCCTTACAAGCCTTCCCTAAGTCAGCTCTAGACCATTCTGCGGATGCAAGCTGAAACTCACTGTCCGACTTTGAACGCCACCCGCCAAAAGCCACTCACATCCCGAAACCCAAGCTAAATCAGGCCGAGGTCCAACCTAAGCCTATGCAACCTCATAGAAAACCCACGTGCTCACCAAACCCAAACCCAGTTGAATCCCGAAGGCTTGCCACCCCATGCGAACCCAAACAGCAACCTCAAGTGGATCCTCAACCGTTGTTTCCCAAATCCAATTGAGCCTTCAGAGCCTCGCCCTCCCGCAAAAACCAAATTCAGAGTCCATCAAATATCAAATTGAAACACGACCTTGATAGAGAAATCATGCCAAACTGCCTTAAATTAGTGCTACCCTAATCCCATGTTAAGTCCATTCTGGTCCAACCCACGATAACTGGAATCCGACCCTCATCTAAATACAACATGAATCCAACCTATATACTGAAGCTTAAAGCTGCTACAGCCTTCCCAAGGCCGAAGTCAAGCCCACACGCCTACGAGCTTGAAATCTCCAGTCCTTCAACATGTATCAAGTGCCTGCACTGACACTTGCAGAACGACATGCCGAAATCATTGAGGTACACGCCGTCATGATCCAGAAGAACAACAAGACACACTAGGATTAGTCCCCACTCAATGAATTGGTTGATATCACAACTACCCATATTATATGTCCAATCCAAGTATCATACTATGAACACAAAAATGTGGTTGTCCTTTTGGTTTCCCTCCAAAAAAACACCCCAAAAACTGGGCACCCTCAAAAATCGGCACGCCCAAGTGCAACTCTTGCAGGTGCATATCAGCCAGTGGCCACTTTGAACCACTCCCGGCTGGTGGACGCCATCGTTGCGGCTCGAAGCGCCAAGGTGGACGCTCAGCCGCATTTTTTGCGGTCGAAGCTGAAAGGGTCAAAATGAGCCACGTGCTCAAGACCTGGGTTTAGTGGGGATTTCCATTTAACGTACCAGTTTTGATTTCTGTCTATTGCTTTTGCTTTAGATGAAGGTTCTTAAGGAAATCGGCCATCGGCCCGCTTTGTTTGGAAGGGATTGGAGACAGCGGATTTCTTGATGCCCCTCTGGGCGTGTCTTTTCTTGGGGACCCCCCCAAAAATGGCGCATCGGTTTTCCTTTTGTTTTCCTTTTCAAGCCACCAGGAAGGGGGCCACCAACGCCAAAAAAGGACGCGCCACCCTTACTTCTAAAGAAAACAGGGGCCGTGGGGCCCTTTTGACCAATGTTCCCCAGCAAACTATATGAGGTGTCCCGCCGAGGACAGAATAGCTTATATATAACATATATTTGTACAGATGTATATGTGTATATATATATATATATATACATATATGTATATGTATATGTATTAGATGACGGTTAGTAAGGGGCAGTCCCAGCCGGAAATAGTTGCGGATATCCGCCTTTCCAATTCTTGAAGCATGGTTCTGGGTTCACCATTTTTGTACCAGGTTTTGATCGTGATTGAAATGGGGGTGTCCTTTCTGAGGCTGCCCCTATCACCATTTTGGCTCGTTAGGCGATTTCTGTGTGTGTAGGAGCGATGTTTCAAGCTGCTAAAAAAAATGGTTTAAAGTGTTCCGTTCAGTCTCCCTTGTACCCAAACTGACCCAAAAAGGGTAATGTCGATCCTGGATTAATAAACTCCTGCTTGGCTTAATACCGGTGTGATCCCTCCAAAAGTGGTCTGAATCCAACCACTCCAAGGGGACCGGGGACACCCCCATCTCTCAAAACCAACCAGGTGGTCTGCGTAGATCCGGGGGTACTCTCAAAGGAACCAGGGAACCCACCCAAAATGGACTTTGGTGTTCCCTTCAGTTTCCCATACCAACCTGGGTGTGGGCCAAACAAAGCGTAGCCAATGGGCGGCCCTGGTGAATGGGAAACTGGTTGTCTAATGGTTTGACCCATACCAAAAAGGGAACTCTCAAAGCAAAAAGGGTACTCCGGGTAGATGACGGCTGGTAAGGGACAATCCCAAAGGTCAATAGCTGCGCCCGCCTTCTTAATTCTTTACATGGTTCTGGGTCCCCACCATTTTAATACCGAGTGCTCTTTGTGTATAACTTCTCTTTGGGCATTTCCTTTTACAGCAAGGTGAAGAGGGGTACCTGGCAAAACGGGTCCTTTTGTCATGGGCAAGAAGGGAAAACGCGATCATATCAACTGTTGCCATGGTGAAAAGGGCATTTCCTTTGCACCACGGTGAAAAGGGGTACGTTAAAAAGGCATTTTCTTTGAACCACGGGGTACCTGAACGAAAAAAGCACGATCAAATCCAATTGTTCCCCTTTTTGCCATGGTGAAAAGGGCTTTTTCTTTAAACCACGGGGTACATGTTCGAACCGGGTGTTGATTATGACTCTTTGTGCATGATTTCTCTTCGGGCATTTCCTTTAAAGGTGAACAGGGGGACTCTGGGACGGGGAGCAACCTATCCCATGGCAAAAAGGGTAGTTGAAAGAAAACACGGGCAAAAACCGAGAGGACGAGCTGCACTGGCAAGCGCTCTGCCGCCGCGCGGAGCTGGTGGCGGTCTCCATGACTCCCGCGGAGCTGCTGGCAATGGCGCGCTGCGTGGCCGCGGCCTTGCGAAAGTTCGGTGGACGGGCCACGGGGACCCCGAGGAACCCTGGAAAAGCCTAACAAAATCTAAGGAAATCTGGGGAAAATCCCTAAGGTACCCGAAGGAAATCTAAGGAGATCTGGGAAACTCCCAAGGAACCCTGAGGAAATCTAAGGAGATTTGGGGAATCCTTAAGGAACCCTAAGGACACCTAAGGAGATCTGGGAAAATCTCAAGGAAATCTAAGGAAATCTAGGGAAACTCCCCGAGGTACCCTAAGGAAATCTAAGGAACTCGAGGAAAAACAAAAACTAGAAAAGTCCCTAAGGATCCCTAGAATAATCTCCAACGAACCCTAAACAATCCCTAAGAAAGCCTAAGGAACCCTAGGGAATCGCTAAGATGGAAAAGTAGACAAAACCCGCTTCCGTTCCTGGACTTTAAGTTTTGTTGGGTGTGGACCATTTGGCTATGTACCATTTTGGGGTAGGTGCACAACCCCTTTTAGTTTATTTTAGTGGGGATTGAGATGTTCACTAAGGGTACGATTCGGATTTGACCCATGGCCATTTTAGTGGTCAGCCCAAAGTTTAGACTTGTGGCCAATAGGCTCAGGAAGTGAGAGAACGTGCGTACCAGCTGTTTTCACTTTGAGCCACAGGTAACCCCAAGGGAAGCTGAACTGCTGGTCAGCCATGTTTTTAGGTGTTGTGTGTTTGGGGTTCTGTTCGTGTTTAGTGGGCTGCAAAACAGAGTTGGACATAGCATCTTAAGCGTTGACAGTTGGGTGAAAGTAGATGCCGAATTCGATTTATATCTTGGTTTCGTCATCCCCTTTACCCACATAAATGGAGTTGTTGTTCCTCTACTTTCACCCTGACGTAGAGGATTATTTGTGGCATGGAAGCTGATCAAATGGTCCTTGTAAGAGGTTTTGGTGGAGAAACCTCTGCAAAAAATGGGTATGTATGAAAATGGGCAGCCACCCCCCCCCCCCCCAAAGAGGCTGTTTTCCCTGTGGTTTCCCTCCAAACCACGCCCCAAAAAGGGTGCCATCAAACCCCACCCCGGCCAAAAGTGCAACTTGGGATCACGGAACTGAGGAGAGACAATCCGGTCAGCTGCGGTTGCTTTGGAAGATCGCCACCTTCGTGGTGGAGCGCTTGTCCTCCTTCACCACTCTGGATGCTCGCTTGCCCCAAAGCCAACCCTTTTGTTGGCTCCCAGCCATCCCCATGGCCTTCCATTTGCTTAAGAGTTTTTTTTTTCCCCTGTTGGTTTTAAAGGGAACCTCTGACTGCTGGAAATATGTTTATTTTTTCCAGGGGTTTAAGCAAATCAAAGTTTTAGGTGTTTAGGGTTTAGTGGGGAGTTTCCATTTAACCCGCTAAAGTGAAAACTTTCAGCAGGGATCCGAGGACAGCCCAGTTTTGACCCTTTGGTTTCCCTGAATTAGTAACGGTTTTTAATCATGGCAACTCAAAAGGTGATCTAAAATGTTTGGTGTCCTACGGGGCAACTGAGGATTTGGTGTGCTTCGCACACGTCTACTCCTCACTGGACGAGGTGCATTACGGCATGCTGAAGCTCAGCCCAAAAGTGGGACGGCTCTCGGAGCGCCAGTGAAGCCTGCGGTTGTCTTTTGCGAGCTGGTGCCCCATACTTGGGGCAGGGTAGCAAGTGGTTAGAAAGCCTGGTTAGAACCCACCTAGACTTACAACCATGTGGGTTTTCACCATGGTCATTACCCAATTTCTAAGTACAATGCACCTTTCAGTATCGGTGGTGAGGGAGAACCAAAAGGAAGACCGAAGCCATTGTAGTGGGTCCCCTAAAAGACACACAGCTCTTGCTTTCATGCCTTGCCTGCTTCTTATTGAAGGGCAATACCACACGAGCATGGCAAAACATGAAATTCCCAGTTCAATTGTTCAAGAACAATGTTATATGGGTGTTTCTGATTCAGCTAAGTACCCTCAAAATCACACAAACAGAGACCCACACGCGCACACACACACCCACACCCACACCCACACCCACACCCACACGCACACACACACACACACACACACACACACACACACACACACACACACACACACACACACACACACACACACACACACACACACACACACACACACACGACCCACACACACGACCCACACACACACACACGACCCACACACACACACACGACCCACACACACACACACACACACGACCCACACAAACACACACACACACACACACACACACGACCCACACAAACACACGGGACCCACACACACACACACACAGCAAACAGACACACACACACACACACACACACGCAAGACCCACATATGCGAACTGACACACACACACAAGACTTACACACACACACACAAGTGTTTTGGTTGCAAAATGGGCTTGAACCACCAGACCAATTCAGTCCCATTCATTTTGGTCACAAACTAGCGCCCAGTGTGCTGGCTATGGCGCTTAAGAAGTTGGAGTCGGAACCTCAACAAGTGGCTGTTGTTTTTTGCCTGTGCCACAATCAAAACCCGAGTAGATGAAGGTTAGTAAGGGGCAGTCCCAGCCAAAAATAGTTGCGGCCACCTTTCTACTTCTTTACATGGTTCTGTTTGTTGTTTTTCCCAAAAGCATCTCTGATGCTCGGGTTCTGCTTTAGGTTTTCTCTTAAGGTGCCTGGGAGCGATACAAGCTGTGACGACGGAGATAAGAAGGGATGTCCATTTCGTCGTGCTGCAGACCGGGCGTGTGATGCCGGCTGCGGGTGCAGACCGGGCGTACGAGGCTGGCTGGGGGGACGGCGGTGTGGGGCTGGCTGGGGGGACGGCGGTGTGGTGCAGACAGGCTGGCTGGAAACTGCCCGCGAGCGAGACTGGCTGGCTGGGGCAACGCAGACTGGGGAGGCTGGCTGGAAACCGCCCGCGTGCGAGACTGGCTGGCTGGGGGGACGGCGGTGTGGTGCAGACTGGGCGCGCGAGGCTGGCTGGAAACCGCCCGCGAGCGAGACTGGCGCGGTGGAGGCTCGTGACATGCGGAAACCGCCCGCGAGCGAGACTGGCGCGGTGGACGCTCGTGACATGCGGAAACCGCCCGCGAGCGAGACTGGCGCGGTGGACGCTCGTGACATGCGGAAACCGCCCGCGAGCGAGACTGGCGCGGTGGACGCTCGTGACACGCGGAAACCGCCCGCGAGCGAGACTGGCGCGGTGGACGCTCGTGACATGCGGAAACCGCTCGCGAGCGAGACTGGCGCGGTGGACGCTCGTGACATGCGGAAACCGGCCGCGAGCGAGACTAGCGCGGTGGACGCTCGTGACATGCGGAAACCGCCCGCGAGCGAGACTGGCGCGGTGGACGCTCGTGACACGCAGATACCGCCCGCGAGCGGGGCTGGCGCGGTGGACGCTTGTGACATGCGGAAACCGCCCGCGAGCGAGACTGGCGCGGTGGACGCTCGTGACATGCGGAAACCGCCCGCGAGCGAGACCGGCGCGGTGCACGCTCGTGACATGCGGAAACCGCCCGCGAGCGAGACTGGCGCGGTGGACGCTCGTGACTTGGGGAAACCGCCCGCGAGCGAGACTGGCGCGGTGGACGCTCGTGACATGCGGAAACCGCCCGCGAGCGAGTGGACGCTCGTGACATGCGGAAACCGCCTGCGAGCGAGTGGACGCTCGTGACATGCGGAAACCGCCCGGGAGCGAGACTGGCGCGGTGGACGCTTGTGACGTGCGGAAACCGCCCGCGAGCGAGGCGCGGTGGACGCTCGTGACATGCGGAAACCGCCCGTGAGCGAGACTGGCGCGGTGGACGCTCGTGACATGCGGAAAGCGCCCGCGAGCGAGACTGACGCGGCGGACGCTCGTGACATGCGGAAAGCGCCCGCGAGCGAGACTGCGCGGGGGACGCTCGTGACATGCGGAAACCGCCCGCGTGCGAGACTGGCGCAGTGGACGCTCGTGACATGCGGAATTACCGCCCGCGAGCGAGACTGGCGCGGTGGACGCTCGTGACATTCGGAAGGCGCCCGCGAGCGAGACTGGCGCGGCGGACGCTTGTGACGTGCGGAAACCGCCCGCGAGCGAGACTGGCGCGGTGGACGCTCGTGACATGCGGAAACCGCCCGCGAGCGAGACTGGCGCGGTGGACCCATGTGAACAGCCCGGCGTTCCACGTACGCCATAATTGCCCTTTTTGCCGCACACCTGCCCCGAACAAACGGTGCCAATGCGTCTAGAACAAACCCTCTCTTCAGAAGCTGTAGCCTCTTGGGGTTCGCCCTACTTATTTGGAAGCAGCCTGGAAGCACGTTGACATGAATATGCTGAGCACACTCGGCCCAAACAAAAGGGCGCATGAACATCCGAACAGCTGACCCCGGTCTACGCAGATCGTGGTATAACACTGTGTCTCAGATTTGTTTCGGACAGGCGTCAGATCCACCAAGTGACCGAGGCTTGTCCACACCGAGCCCCCCGCAAAAGCGCAGCGCCGGCCCCGTCTCCACACACCTGCGGCAAATCCACCCAAGTTGCCATCCACACGCATCCAATTGACAACGTGCGCGGCCCTTTCCACAAAGTCACCAGTTGCAATTGGTTGCGAAGGGGAAAATAGGTGGAGAAACTAACGAATCCAAGCAAGCTTACGAACCAAGTTTGTGAAGGCCACGCGCACGGCTCCATGTGAACAGCCCGGCGTTCCAGGTGCGCCAGAATAGTCCTTTTTGCCGCACACCTGACCCAAACAAATGGTGCCAATGTGTTTCTAGGACGAACCCTCTCTTCAGAAGCTGTAGCCTCTTGGGGTTCGCCCTACTTATTTGGAAGCAGCCTGGAAGCACGTTGACATGAATATGCTGAGCACACTCGGCCCAAACAAAAGGACGCATGAACATCCGAACAGCTGACCCCGGTCTACGCAGATCGTGGTAACACTGTGTCTCAGACTTGTTTCAGACAGGCGTCAGACCCACCAAGTGACCGAGGCTTGTCCACACCGAGCCCCCCGCAAAAGCGCAGCGCCGGCCCCGTCTCCACACCTGCGGCGAATCCACCCAAGTTGCCATCCACATGCATCCAATTGACAACGTGCGCGGCCCTTTCCACAAAGTCACCATTTGAAATTGGTTGCGAATGGGAAAATGGGTGGACAAACTAACGAATCCAAGCAAGCTTACGAAGCAAGTTTGTGAAGGCCACGTGCACGGCTCCATGTGAACAGCCCGGCGTTCCAGGTGCGCCAAGATTGTCCTTTTTGCCGCACACCTGTCCCGAACAAATGGCGCCAATGTGTTTCTAGGACGAACCCTCTCTTCAGAGTCTGTGGCCTCTTGGGGTTCGCCCTACTTATTTGGAAGCAGCCTGGAAGCACGTTGACATGAATATGCTGAGCACACTCGGCCCAAACAAAAGGGCGCATGAACATCCGAACAGCTGACGCCGGTCTACGCAGATCGTGGTAACACTGTGTCTCAGACTTGTTTCGGACAGGCGTCAGGCCCACCAAGTGACCGAGGCTTGTCCACACCGAGCCCCCTGCAAAAGCGCAGCGCCGGCCCCGTCTCCACACACTTGCGGCGAATCCACCCAAGTTGCCATCCACACGCATCCAATTGACAACGTGCGTGGCCTTTTCCACAAAGTCACCAGTTGCAATTGGTTGGTGCACGGCTCCATGTGAACAGCCCGGCGTTCCAGGTGCGCCAAAATGGTCCTTTTGCCGCACACCTGACCCGGACAAATGGTGCCAATGTGTTTCTAGGACGAACCCTCTCTTGAGAAGCTGTAGCCTCTTGGGGTTCGCCCTACTTATTTGGATGCAACCTGGAAGCATGTGACATGCGAAAACTGCCCGCGAGCGAGACTGGCGCGGGGGACGCTCGTGATAGGCGGAAACTGGGCGCGAGCGAGGCTGGCGCGGGGGACGCTTGTGAGGCGCATACTGGAAATCTACAATGATGGGCCGGAGCAGCTGTGTTAAGGGGAGATTTGGTGGTTCTAGGTCCCTGTTTTTTTTCGAAAAAAAGGGGGACTCTAGAATGATGGAATCTGGGGTTTCAGGGCTGGAGCGGCAGTGTTAAGGGGAGATTTGGCGGTTCTAGAGTCCTAGTTTTTTGTTTGAAAAAGGGGGCTCTAGAATGATGGAATCTGTCGCTGTAGGGCCAGAGCAGCAGTGTTAAGGGGAGGTTTTGTGGTTCTAGAGCCCCTGTTTTTTTTTTAAAGGGGGGAGGCTCTAGAATGATAGCACTTGGTGTTCCAGAGCCTGGCGGTTCAATTGAAGTGCCAGAAGGGCAAGTGGTTGTCGAAGCGCAAGTGCATGATGACAATTAAGAAGCTGAGGGGGAACGGGGCGTGCACAACTAAAAATATGTGTCGCATATACTGCGGCTTTCAGAGACTCGCGACGATGCCTGACCAGGACAAGTACTGCGAAGTTGGGCCGGGAGCAAGAAGGTATGTCAACCTTTAGAACCGGTTTCCTGTCAAATTCCAAGACTCAGCAGCCTCGCAAGATGCAAGCGATGTCTATTCGCATCTCATGTCGCACCTGCGCTCGGATCTGAAACGTGCCCTGCAGGCTCGTCTCAAAGGTACGACGGCCGACTCAGAGAAGCGCATGTGCCGGCACCTCCTTGAGGACTACACTGACACCCTTGAAGGCTGCCAATTCTGGGCGTGCGAGAGCTGGAAGGCTGTCAACTTTTGGGTGACTAGGCACCCCCGATATTTGCGGGCGGGCTCGCAAGATGCGGACGACCCAGATGAGGCCGAGGCCGCAGTGCCACAAGATGGCGACAGCGACACCGATGCGAGCTGAACAAAAAACCGCATGTCAACGTGCTTCCAGGTTGCTTCCAAATAAGTAGGGCGAACCCCAAGACCCTACAGATTCTGAAGAGAGGGTTCGTCCTAGAAACACATTGCCACCATTTGTTCGGGTCAGGTGTGCGGCAAAAAGGGCAATTTTGGGCAATGCGAACATATAGTGCACCTGCCCGCGCATACCTGCACATTGGCACGCGCGCGCGCAAACAGTGCATAATTAAAATGAAAACTTGGCGGCAGGGAAGGAAGGAAGGAAGGAAGGAAGGTGCCCGCCATAGGTCTAAGTCGCCTGCGCACGCCTGCATTTTGCCCTCGACCAACCGCTGAATGTGACATAGAAGCAGATTGTCCGTGAATAGGAGGCAGGGCGACAAAAAGGGACAAGCAGCCCTTTGTTTCACGTGGTTGCCGGGCAATGCTAATATATAGTGCACCTGCCCGCGCACACCTGCACATTGGCACGCGCGTGCGCGCAAACGGTGCATAACTTAAATGACAACTTGGCGGCAGGGAAGGAAGGAAGGTGCCCGCCATAGGACTGAGTAGCCTGCGCACACCTGCATTTTGCCCTCGTACAACCGCTTCGATGTGAGATAAAAGCAGACTTGGCGGCAGGGAAGGAAGGAAGGAAGGAAGGTGCCTGCCTTAGGACAAACTAGTCTTGAAGCAATTTTCCGCCGTAAACACAGGGCTTTCACCCCATTCATGCGTGTTGGAAGTCGGTCTTGCGCGACACGGTGTAAGAATCAGGCGTGCGCGCGCGCGCCATGGCTTTGCAGCACGGATTTCGTCCATGCAAATAGGCTCGAGGTGGAATACCTGACCGCTCACTGAAGCTGGCGCTTGAGGCATCCGAAGGTGCTCCATCAGAATGGTGGGTGTCAAATAGCTCCCAGTGAACATGTGTTCTTTCATGGATTCGCGAGGGGTAAACCCGGGATTTGCATTGGCAGTTGTTGTTGGGATCGTTAGGTCATCCAACAATGGTGGATAGAGGGACCTTTTTAGCTGGACGTATATTGTCCAACATCCTCCTGTGCATTTCCATGATTCTTCGAAAGGGGGTAGGGTCACTTTGTTATGCTGCCCTGTTGGTTTTGACGGAGCCATGACTGGACTGTACGCATTTAGCGGAACATCTTTAAATGCCTGTTTATGATCCCTGTTAGGTGTTGTCAAGGGAAATGGTCATGACGGGTATCCCGACCCCCCCCCGTTCATCAGCCTGCACAATCTTGAGCGGTAGCTCTCTTCCCCAGCTCCCGGACTTTAGCCACTTTTAGGGAACACGGTGCTGGTGCACAACAAGTGTTTCGACTGTCTTGATCGATCCACTCTGGAAGCATTCGGCCTCAGCTCTTTGGTGTAGCAGGCAGACCAAATGGATGGCGCGCTGCGAACATGGCTCACAGGAAACGGTCACTGGTTCTTCTTTGTTGTCTCCAAGATGTTGGAGTTTCAGTCTGGGCCAAAAACACGTCTGGGCCACAAACACGAGCTCAGATGGGTGTAGAGCGAGCTTATGCCTTCCTTCCAACTTGGGAGTGGTAGTTTGTGCGGATCCATTTTCGGATTTCTGCGATTGGTTCTTCATGATGAATCAGATGACTTCGTGCCTTCCATGTAGTGCGGGGCCTGTCATGTTTCACCCGTGCCTTTGCCTTTTTCTCTGTGCTTGGTCAGAGCACAGGCTGCTGGCTGCCAATCCGGCTTGAGTCTTCGGACCCTTGAGCCGGAAAACAACGGGATCCACGTGCCATGGGGAGTGAGGCTGGTTTGCTTTTGGGTTCCCGGCCTCCTCTTGTGTACCAGGTTTTGATTGTGACTCACCTGAATCCCTGCCTAACTGTCCGCAAACGAGGGTTTCGAATGAAAGAAGAACCCACATTTGACCAACCCCGGGAGGTTCTGTTTTGCGGCTTCGTCAGGAACGTGATGGCCCTGATCCTCACGAGCCCGGAGGACGAGCGCACCATGAACGCGGCCGAGGCGTGTGACGTGCTCAGCTCCTTCGCGCGGGCAAAGTACCCGCTGCCGCTGCTGCTGCGAGAAGCGGAGCGCATCCTGATGGCCGAGGCGGGAGGCTTCTCCCGGTCGAGGGAGAGGCTTTGGGATTCGATGCTTTTGGGGGCCTTTGGGGAATATTCGAGGTTTTACTTGGTTTGGGTGTTTCCATTGAACCCGCAACTCACCCTGAGTTCCGTTTCGGACCTGAGACACTTGTGGTAAATAGCCAGTTTGGTTTTGGACAATGGACTCAAAAATTAGCAGATGGTTGTTTTTCTCCGAAACGTTGGGAAGCCCCAAAACCAGGGGTACGCTCAAGAAGCAGATGGCCCATGTGGGAGAAATATGGGACTCCCCAAATGTGAGCCCCAACGACCCGGGAACTTTCTCGTGTAGCAATCTGTTTGCCGCACGTCTCCTGCGAATCATTTTCTGGGAAACCTCGTTTGACCACATGGCGTTTCTGGATGATTGGGGCTGCTATGTCACTATTCAAAGGGTGCACATCGCCTTTCCCAAAATATATGTAATATTACATAAAACATACATATATATATATGTATGTATCTACATATGATGATATATTTGTGTATAACCATACAAGTAAAAAGATAAATATAACCAAAAAACATATCATATGTGTAAAGCTGCGATTAATGATGTCCCCCCCCCCCCCCGTGGCACGTCATCTCCACCAGGAGGTCTCTGCGGCGCACGCCTTGTCGGCGCTGCGGAGCTTCAGCGCGCTGCGCGCTCTCAGCGCGGGGCTCTGCGGGCGCCTGGCGCCCGCGGCGCTGGGCGTGGCGGATCTGCGGCAGAGCTGCGAAGCAGCGGCCTGGGCGTGGGAGGCGCGGCGCGCGGATTTCGGGTTTCTTGGTGGCTCCCAGCCATCCCCTTAGCCTTTTAGTTTTTTAGCGTTTAGTGGTAGTTTCCATTTAACCCACTAAACGTTAAACTTTTAGCCGGGGATCTGAGGGCAGCCCAGGTTTCTCGTGCGTGGGGGTTAGGCCTCTTTTTGGTGGATTTGTTTGAAAATTAGGTTTTGTTGATTGGTTCCATCAACTACCAAGGCCATCTATTTCCCAAAAAGGACACCTGTGCGCTTGGGGGTTAGGTGGCGGGGTTGGCAACTCGCAGGCCGTGGACTAACTGCTTTGGGAAGACCAGTTTGCTGGGAAGCAAGAGTTGTCCAACTTTTGGGCCATCCACTCAGGAAGTGCTGCAAATTGGTCTTTGCTGGGCGAAGCCGGCGCCGTTTCGCTTACTTTCAATGAGAAGAGTGGTGGACATTTGGGTGGTTTTGGGTCACGTTGTGGGCAGAGGCCTGCTATTGGGTGACGGAGCTTTAGATTTTATTTGGCTGTGGGTCAAAACCAGTGGGATCCCATTTTTGGGGCACCACCCATTTTAGTACCTATTTTAGTGGGGATTGGGATGTTCACTGAGGGTGCGGGATTTTGACCCATGGCCATTTCTTTTTAACCTACGGTCCATGGCCCGCGGGCTGTTCTGCCAGTCATGCTACCATTGCATGCGGGATGCGAAGAGTTGAAGACTAGTTGCTGGGGGATCTACAGCACCCAAGGCGTTTTGTGATGACATTTGTAAAAAGGTAACGTAAATTAGTTCTAGGCTATGGGGATGGTTACTTCACTTGATGGGGCCTTCGGGGCTTTGAAAGGTTGTTACAACAGATGGTTCCCAGCGAATCGTCCGGTTCCTGAGCGTTTTTTTTGTGCCTTTTGGTTTAGTGGTTGGTTTTCCATTTGACTGGAACCTTAGAGGTCCTGTCAGGTTTATTGCCATGGGACTCAAACCAAATCGAGCTCTTCGCGTTCTGCCCAGGAGCAGACCTGCCTACGTGGTGTTAAAGCAATAGGCGAAGGCTGGTCGGGCAACATGGTGACGCAGGTCGTCCTGGAAAAGCTGAATCTTGCTCGGACTTGGGCTGGCTGCTTTCCCATCAAAGAACTTGCCCTCCAAATGTTTCTGGGTGTTTAACATAGCATCCTCAAACCTACTCACTTGCCCAAAGCCGACCTTCAAGCTTTGGGTTTCCCTGAAGTTGGTTCATATTGTCTCACTCCCTGAGTTCCTGGACTTTAAGCTTTTGGAAAGACCATGTGAATGGAGCGTGGTGTCCTTTGTGGCCAATCTACCCCGGGAAGTGAGTTTAGTCAAGGTTTCAACAGGTTGTCACCTTTTATGTCCAGGTTTGGGCTTGCGTGTGCTTACCCTCTTGGTGGGCTTTGAAGGAAACCTGAATGTGAAAAGTGATGTCGACGGGACATGGCTGGAGGACCCAAAAGAGTGTCTTGTTTCCTTGGGTTTGTGTTGGTTCGTTTGGGGTCTTAAGGGAACCAAACGGAAAACCCGCAAAACATTTCGGCGGTCCAAATCCGTTTGACACATACCCAGCTCGACTTTCTGCACATAATTTTCTTTGAACTCTAGTTTCTCTTCCAACAGCTCTTGACACTCAGATGATGCAGGAAAACAACGGCCAAGGCTTGAACAATGGGATCAGGCAGTCGCACAATAGTGGATCGGCCGCTCAAAATGAATGAGCGAGAGAGGCAGGCCCAAACAGTTTCTATCAGAAGCAACAAATAGAAGACGCCACGAACACATGTACACAGTCAAAGAGTGGCAAAGCTGCATGACAATGGTTGAGAGGGAATGCCCCGAACAAAATATGGGTTCGTGTCTGGAACCCCTGAAATGATGATTTGTCCGTTGGGTTTCCCTTTAAAACCAACCAAAAAGCGGTTCCTGAAAAAAGGCATATGCATCAAGGATTGGGAAGCAGAATCCCTCAAAATCAGGTTGGACCTCTTCAATGTCGGTTTTCGCATCGAGGAAAGAGGCCTTGAAGCAGTGCAGATTGCAGCAGTTGCAGCTTGTGTCTTCGGGTGCTCCGCTTTGCGTGGTGCCCACTCTTGCCGGAAGAGCGCAGGCTGGGTTTTTTTTTGAAAAGAGGGGGTTCGGGGTTTCAAGTAGCGCAAAACGAACGGCAATGGAACTGCTTCAGCTTCTTCCCACATGTTGGTTTAGTCATGCCTGGTTTTGGTGGTACGGCAGGTTACCGTGTCCCCCCAATTGGTAGTTTGGAGCCCAGTTTGGAGCTTAGTTGAAGAACCAGGAGTTCAAATCCCCAAACCAATCCAAACCACTAACTCAGGACCTGACTGCTGGTAGATATACGCACCCTCCCTTCCACCAACATCCTGTGGGAGGGTACCTGGCAGATCGTGAAAATGATCTTTCTCTTGTAGGGACTCCCTGTCAAGTGCCACCCTGGGAGTAGCCCAAGGAGTCAAAGAGTTTGCGCAAAACCCGGGGGCGCACTTCTCAACATGCCGATTTTTTGAGCATGGTTTCCAGTGGAGAATAACAGTTCTTTGTATACCACAAAGATCGCAGACGCTCGGAAACAGAAGTGGTTTCCGTGCACGCTGGCCAGTCGTCGTTGCGCTTCTTTCTTCGGGCGCATCCCCCTCGCCGGGCAACGCACGCGGCGCGTGGTCTCTCTCCGCGTAATCGCCTCAGGTCCCGGGCAACGCGGTGCTGGCGGCCGCCTGCCTCCTCGCGACGGACGACTCCGAGAGCCGGCAGAAGGCCGGGGAGCTGCTGCGGGCGGTGGCGTCCAGCAGCGCCAAGCTGACGCCCCGCGGGACGCAAGCCTCTGGGGCCCCTGGAAAATGGCTCATGACTCCCCGAGGAAATCCAGCCAGGTGGTGTCTTTTTTGTAGGGGACGAAGTCCTGAGTTCATGGAATTTCGCATTCCCGACTGAGCACCAGCAAGTGTTTTTTCCAAGGGTTGGGCCCCCAAATGGTGGGTTTTGCTTTTGGTGTCCAGAAATGGGTACCCTCAAAAGAAGACACGCAAAAAAACACTTTTTAGCCTCAAAAGTGGACAGACAGCTTCCCCAAGGCCCCAAAACGAATGTGCCAAGTATCCAGACTGCCAGTGAGTGGCAACTCCTTTGTTCAACTGTTCTTTTGAGGGGAAAACCCTTTAAATTCAACCAGCAAGAGCGCCGAATCTGTTTTTTTCGTGGAAATCCATTGAGCGCCTGGAGGATGAGTAGCCCAAACAGGGGGAGGGGGCATGGCGGTATGGGGTTTAACAGAACTAACCCATAGTTTGTCGCGTTTCCCGAAAAGGAAACCAGAAGGGGATGACTAATTTGTTGCTTTAGTCCATTCCTTTTCAGTGCAAGGTATATCTTGTCCATGGAGGTGAGCTGCCGTTAAAATCAACTAACAAAAGGGAGGCTTTCTTGCATGGCCGCTGCGGGTAAGAGCCGGGTTACACTCGGCTTTTGGGTGGTCATTTTGGAAGGGGAAGATGGAGTGCACCCGAAGCTCACAAAGAAACCGCTAAAAATTGCTTTGAAACCTCGAGAGAGGCACGTTTCAAGATTTGTGGTGATCTCTTTCAGCGGAGTTCTTCAAAGGCTTGAAGAACAAGAGAATCTGGGGAAACTCAAAGGAGGCTGCTAAAAGAACAGTGGCTTTAGTATGTGTGTGTGTGTGTGTGTGTGTGTTTTAGGCGACCCCCAAAAATGGTGGGTGCCCTTTTGGTTTCCCTGTAAAACCACCAAAAAGCAGGGGCAGCAACCAGCTCCAAAAACCGACATGACGTGTTTTATGTGGACCGTGAGCCAAGGCTTTGGCCGCCAGAGCAGCGGGTGCGCTGGCTGAGTGTGGCCGCCGCGGTGGATGCATCCGATGAGGCGGGGGAAAACGGGGGGGGAAACGGGGGGTCTGTGAGACACGCATTGAACTTGCTGGCTGCCAGCGATCCGATTCAAAAAAAGCTTGTTAGATCCTTTTAGTGCTTAGTGGTAGTTTCCGAATTTCACCCACTAACAGTTAGTCACTTGTAGCGGGGGATCCGAAAACGGGCCCAGTGAAGAGGACCCCAAAGACACGCACAGACACCAAATACAGCCCCATGGCGGTTCCCAGCCGACGGGTTCTTTAGGATTTATTTGTCTTTCGTTGGTTTAGTCGGGGTACCCACTGAAAAGTTAAACTTTTGGCAGGGGATCTGAGGACAGCCCAGCTTGGGAAAGACTAAACTGGGCGTCAAAATAGAGGGATGGCTTGAACTCGAAAAACTGTTTAGTTGGATATTGGTGTTAACATATTGTGGTGTGTGGCTTCCTTTTACAACCTGTTCAAACCATCGAATTTCAACATAGTTGCCCCTTTTTGGATGTTTTCAAGAGGAATCAACAAAAAACATATTTGGAGGAACTGGTCCCAATTATGAGAGACTCCCAGAACATCGCCTGCGGTGGTGTTTTCTCCCTTCGGGGACCCCACAAAACAGCTTCGGTTGTCCCTGTGGTTTTCCTTGAACAACACCGCCCAACAAAACTCGGGGTCCCAACTCCGAAAAATGCCGAGCCGCCCATTTGAGAAGTTTGCAGCTGGTTTCTCTTCAGTTTGTGAGTGGAAGATGTGACTCGAAAAAGGACCCAAGCCCTTGCGATACCAGCAAAAAACAACATATTCAACAAGTAACCCGTGTTTCATCCAACGCCTTTTGGTTCTTTGAAGAAATTGGCATGATCCGTTTGTTGAACCCGGCAAACAAAAACATGCCGGGTGCCCGGCCGGTCCGGTCAGTTCCAGTCGAGTTGTCTCCCAAAGCTCCAACTCAAACGGCCAGGAATCCAGGAACGCAGTGCCAGTTGGTCCTGGTACACCACAGCCAGAAGTGCACAGACTCAGAACCCTTAAGACGAGGTATGACGAGCTTCTTCTCGCAAAGGGCAGTTCCTGTGCACCAAACCGGGTTTAGGTGGAAGCTCGGTACCAAGTTGATGTTCGCACAAGCCAAGCGTTCCTGAAGGCTCTGGATCCCAGCTACAAACCCATGTAGGCAACCCTTGGATCAACGTTCCTGTGTTTTTTTTTACAGGTGGTTTTTCAAAGTCTTTGATGACCTACCTCCAAAACCAGCTTTCTATGATTCCACGACAGCCCAAGCCCTTGGTGAATTACCTGCCTTTTAAAGAGGCTGTGGCGCTGATCCTGGAGAATCTCGCCAGCATCCCCAAGCAGCTGGCGCTGTGCTCGCCTGTCCTGGCGGAGCTGCTGCCCCGGGTAGCCGCCAACGGGCTGCACGCCGAGGCCGAGGCGGCAGGCGGAAAGCGCGACCCGTTGCCAGGTGAGTCGAGGTCCAACACTTGGTGGCTCCCAGCCATCCGGTTCCTTAGCTTTTTAGCTTTTTCGTGTTTAGTGGGGATTTCCATTCAATCAGTGCTAAAAGTTGTTTCCCAAGTGAAAAGCGAGGGGCTATGTTTCCACTCATTTTCATTCCGATAGGTCACGAAGTCTGTTCAGCTGGACTTGCAAAGTCATGAAGGTTCCAACGGTGACATACAGCTCCAAGTCAGCAGTGCCGATAGCGGGTTTCCCGTTTTTTGTCGGACAGCGGCGGCAGCCCGGTGAATTTGCGGTGACTCTGTCCGACGTTTCAACCGTTTTCAGGGCTTCTCCCTGACCTCAAAAGTGGCCAAACCAGAAGGCTAGGTAAGTGCTCCGAGCTCTTCTTTTGCTTTCCCTTGACCAACTAACCTGGTTGACCCATTCTCCAACTGACCTAACCCTTTGATATGAGCTCCTTTGGCTTTCCCTTGAACAGCTTTCTACCCCCCGTGAATAGACCTGTCCTTGTGGTTCTCAGGGAATGAGTTGGAATGACCACGAGAAAAACCATCCTTTAAGGAAATTCCCAAACGGTTCATTCAACCCATACCCGGAAACTCGGTCGGAAACTCGGGCATTGCCTAGCACCAGCAAGCAAAAGGGAACCCTCCAGAAAGACCACAAGGGAACCCACCTGTAAGGTTGAAAAGGGGACACCAAGGGTAAAACCACCCTGAAAAACGACACACACACACACACACCAAATTGAGATGAGCGCCAGCCTCTCGCACCGACGCGCCAGCCCGCGACGCACGACCCGCGCCAGGCCGGGCCTTGTGCGACGCCTTGGTGCCGGAGCTCTACCGCCTGCGTCTGCCGGAGTCCCAGCGCCTGCTTGCGGGCTGCCTCGAGCTGCGGGCGGTGCTGGGCCAAAACGGGGACGCGCTGGAGGCGGGGCTCGGGAGAGAGGACCTCGCCAAAACAGGTGTGGGTTTGGTTTGCTTTTTGGCGGGAAAGCAGTTGGTTGGTTTTAAGAGGGACACATTTTTCCGGTGGTATCCTGTTTTGGTTGGCTTTTAGAGGGGAACTTTTTTGGGGGCATCCTGTTGTGGTTGGTTTTACGAGGGAAATAAAAGGACAACCACCATGTTTGGGGGTTGTCTAAAAAAAGACACCCAAATTATTTGCGAACGACCCCGGTACTTCTGTGATAGGGGGCGAAGCAAAGGAAGGTTGTGTGAGAATACATAACAAGTATGAGTGTCGAAATTTGGGGAGCCTCAAAATGGCTTTGGTTGTCCTTTTTGGTTTTCCTTTACCACCCCAAAAAAGGCGTCCAACTCTGGAGGCGAGCTATGGCCCTTCCTGCGAGGCCCTCCTGAAGGCCGTGGTGGAGGCAGGGTTGACGGCTTAGACAATGGCAACTATGGGTTCCAAAGGTTGAACACGCATCGATGGAACCCAGCGTTCTTAAGCGCTGGACCAATGCATTGACACTGTTGTTGACACACGTAGTTGAACAAACCTCTTCGATTCAAGGCATGGTTGCGGGCTGAAAGCAACACGCTGGCCTCGTCGCATGGCCTTTTAGAGAAAGATATCCAAGACAGGGGTTCCCCGAAATCGGGGCATTTAACAGTGCGCAACTGCCAGGTGTTATCAGTGAATCCCAGTGCTTCAAGTTAATTGCCACTATAGTAGTAGGTAACCAGGGGAAACCATCATGAAAAACAAGAAGGAAACACCTAGAGGCGTAAGAAACCCTGGTTACCTACTATTGTGGTAACTGGAAGCAATGGAAATGATGGCTGAATGGTAGGGGCTTGTGGCAAAAGGTCTTCATGACATGAGATGTCTTCCTCGATTCCATGCTGTTTCGGGTTTCACTGAGGGCGACTCACCTCGATCTTTGACGGACGTGAAACCGTGCGTTCGCATTGGTGCTTTCTGGTTTCAATCAGATGTTGCCAGTGAGTCATTTCCAATGGACAAAGTCCCCGACTTCCTTCAAGCCACGGGAGCCTTGCTTCTTTCGCGGGGATTATCCACTTCGCTGATCAGATCCAACTTCTTTGTGGCTGCCACGGGCCTAAGTGGGGTTTTGCGGACCCAAAAATGTTCCGCATCCAGGTGATTGTGCCGGTGAAGTGGGATGAATATGGGGCGTCTTTGGACGGTACCCGTAAGGGAAGCCCAAATGAAAAGCCAGCATTTTCGGGGGGGAGCTCACTTGGCCGAGCATCCAAGTCTGTAGCTAGCCTCTCCCTTTTGGGAGCAATTGGAAAGGGCCTCGCAGCCAATCGGCTTTTTTTGGTTGGATGCCAATTCACCATTTAGCATTTGCTTCCGCACCGTCTGTCTCTCTGTGTGTGTGTGTGTTTGTGTGTTTGTGTGTTTGTGTGTTTGTGTGTTTGTGTGTTTGTGTGTTTGTGTGTTTGTGTGTTTGTGTGTTTGTGTGTTTGTGTGTGTGTGTTGTGTGTTTGTGTGTTTGTGTGTTTGTGTGTTTGTGTGTTTGTGTGTTTGTGTGTTTGTGTGTTTGTGTGTTTGTGTGTTTGTGTGTTTGTGTGTTTGTGTGTTTGTGTGTTTGTGTGTTTGTGTGTTTGTGTGTTTGTGTGTTTGTGTGTTTGTGTGTTTGTGTGTTTGTGTGTTTGTGTGTTTGTGTGTTTGTGTGTTTGTGTGTTTGTGTGTTTGTGTGTTTGTGTGTTGTGTGTGTTTTGTGTGTTTGTGTGTTTGTGTGTTTGTGTTTGTGTTTGTGTGTGTTGTGTGTGTGTGTGTGTGTGTGTGTGTGTGTGTGTGTGTGTGTGTGTGTGTGTGTGTGTGTGTGTGTGTGTGTGTGTGTGTGTGTGTGTGTGTGTGTGTGTGTGTGTGTGTGTGTGTGTGTGTGTGTGTGTGTGTGTGTGTGTGTGTGTGTGTGTGTGTGTGTGTGTGTGTGTGTGTGTGTGTGTGTGTGTGTGTGTGTGTGTGTGTGTGTGTGTGTGTGTGTGTGTGTGTGTGTGTGTGTGTGTGTGTGTGTGTGTGTGTGTGTGTGTGTGTGTGTGTGTGTGTGTGTGTGTGTGTGTGTGTGTGTGTGTGTGTGTGTGTGTGTGTGTGTGTGTGTGTGTGTGTGTGTGTGTGTGTGTGTGTGTGTGTGTGTGTGTGTGTGTGTGTGTTTGTGTGTTTGTGTGTTTGTGTGTTTGTGTGTTTGTGTGTGTGTTGTGTGTTTGTGTGTTTGTGTGTTTGTGTGTTTGTGTGTTTGTGTGTTTGTGTGTTTGTGTGTTTGTGTGTTTGTGTGTTTGTTTGTTTGTTTGTTTGTTTTGTTTTGTTTGTTTTGTTTGTTTGTTTGTTTGTTTGTTTGTTTGTTTGTTTGTTTGGTTGGTTGGTTGTTTGTTTGTTTGTTTGTTTGTTTGTTTGTTTGTTTGTGTTGTTTTGTTTTCGTTTTTGAATATCCCATCCTTTTTGCGATGGTTTCAAGGGAAACCAAAGAAAAACACTATATATACTCTTTTTGAGAATCCATTAAAGTCTAGTTATTTAAGCGGAATCACAGGACTCGGAGGTAGTTTCGACTACCCCCAAACCACTACGCCCACAGGACAATTGCAAACATGCCCTTTATAGAATGGCTGTATAGTGGCTGTTTCTCTTATAGAAACCCTGGGTAGTGGTTTGTGGGTAGTGAAAGCCATCTTAGGACATTTGCCAGATACCCAGCAAGAACCGGTTGGATCGCGTGTACCGCTCGAAACCATGGGGTTTCAGTTGTACCTTGGTGGCTCCCAGCCAGCCCCTTAGCTTTTTAGTGTTTAGTGGGCATTTCCGGTTTAACCCCCGGTTTAACTCTTAGCGGGAAATCCGAAAACGGACAGCCCAGGTACCACCTAAAAACCGGTTGGATGTCCTGTAAAGTTTCCTGTCCCAGAGGCTCCCGATGTATTTATCCATCAGCAGGAGTCTGTGGGGCTCGTTTCCCTCTCAAGTTGAACTCTTAGCGGGGGATCCGAAACGGACAGGTCAGGTACCCAAAAAACCGGTTGGATGTCCCGGTTGGATGTTCCGATGGCTCGTTTCCATCTGAGGCGCTCCCCACGAAGCTTCGGTCCGAGGCCATCTTTCGCAGGAGCGGTCCGAAACCCACCAGCCGCGGTGAAAGGAGAAGAGGCCAACCCCCGAAACATCCCGAAACCATGTGGACAAGGCAAGTATATGTGTTTTTATACATATATATATATATATATATTCTACACGCCTCGTTTTCTCATGATCCTGCTTTTTGAGAAAGTCTCAAGTACTCTGCCCCCGATCTAAAAATGAGCAAGGGCTTTGTAGTACCAGTTTTAACTTTGGTTGCACGGTTGGCAAGCGCGGACAGTAACACCTTTGCCGGAGTTCCCTGATCTCTCCTTTTGTCTTTGTGTGGGTTGCACTGTGACTCAGTCGAACACAAACTGACCGCAAGCGGGGTCCTTTTGGGTGTGTCTTAAGATAGGGGATCCCCCGAACTGTTGGTTTGTGTTAGTGCCTTTCAAATTTAGAGCACCCGAAACAGGGTAACCTCCAAAACAGACGCCCATTTTGCTGTGGCCAGCGCCTACTGTCATAGCCGTGAGGATCAATTGGGTCAACGTACATCCGAAAGTACCTGGACGAGGGATGACGTAATCACTTGGTCTTGCTCCGAACCCACTCGTGTGGCACCAAGCTGTTTCCTTTTTGCTGGGGTTTGCGCAGAAATGACCCTAGCCCCCAAAAGGGGGCGGGGACGGGTTCCCTTTTTCTGCCATGCGGTGGAGTGGAGGCGTTATTTTTCCGAGCCTCGGAGCCTCGGAAAGGTGATCGGCGAAGGTTGCCCATCAAAATGTCAGCTGACTCGTCTTTGTGAACTCTCCAAGTCACCGGTGACTTGGTGGATTGAAGGAAAACAACCCTTCTGACAACCAGAAACACCTTAACCCTCAGAAACTGTCAAAAGAGCCAACCCCATGTTACACTCAATCCCGCCAAACTCATTTCCCTACCCCTCCCCCCCAACTGCAACCAACAGCAACCTGCGAATTCCCCCGAGGAGTCGGCCCAGCGCCTCGGAGCTGGCGGCGTGGTGCGGCGTCCTGGCGCGCCAGGAGCGAATGTCGACTCGTCGATTGGCCGGGTGGATTCGGATCGAATTCCTTGTGAGTTGGCGGAATTGGTGGGGCGGGGTGGAATTTGATGGCTGGGTGGAAGGTGGGAACGTGGAATGAGTTGGTGGGTTGGTGGCTTGGGCTGGGGTGGGGTGGGGTGGGAAAATGCAAATTGGAGGTTTTTGAGGTGGGATTGGGCTTCTTGTGGAGCTTCCCGCAGTCGGCTGCTCTGAGGGACACGTACCTGGCTCCATGGTTGGTGGGGTGGCAATGCACCTTTCACCTTCTGGTATACGCATCCAGAAATGCCCCAAATGCTATCAGCGTGCAGAAACACATTTTGCAGGGAGCGGTCGGACACCAACCAGCCATGCGTTGCTTACGCCCCCGCTGAGGAGTCAAACCCTTATGGGAAACCGCATGTTCGAGGTTTGGGACCCCAGAAAAGGAAGACGAGCGGAAAGCTTTGCAAGCAACCAACATGATGAAAAGAAGTTCCCCCTACTCCGAATTCCGTCTTTTTTTACGGGTAATTTTTGAAACTCCCGGTTTTCCACTGGAAATACCTCCATCGTACCCATGGAAAGCGGGTAGTTGGTGGGCTTCAGGTTCTCGCGATCGCCGTGATGCCTCGGGGCTGTATGGCTCAGAGACCCTGTGTCCAACCGAACAAACCGAACGACAAGCACAACAAGCACCACAAATACCACAAAAACCCACTTAGGACCGAGGCAACAGTGCCCCTCACGCAGCAAAACACGCAAGAGGCATAGTTGTTGTTTGGTCAGTTCGGATAGAAATAGATGATTGGATTGGTTTGAGGCCTCATTTAATGTCCAGGGCCATCCATGTTTCCCAGAAGGCTATGAATGGGTCCGTCTTTTGGTTGAAGGTACCCTATGTTTGTGGTTTTAATGGGACATCGCCAGGAAAACCGAGAGCATGTTTGCCCAAAGGCCACCTAGGCCGCTTTGGGGAGGTTTGCCTTCGCCTCAGGAGGTGCCAGAGGCGACCTGGCAGCTACTGGCCAAAGAGTGCGCGGAGGCGAGCGTTGCAATGCGGTCGGGGCGCGAGTCCTGGCGCAGCGAATGCTGGGGGGCGGGGGGAGGAAGGGTTTGCTTTCCGGTTTCTGTTGCGCCTTTCCCAGCAATCGGTGGAGTTCCGACCATTCGGGGGAGGGGGAGGGGGGGAGGGGGGGGTCATTTTCGCAAGATGGGCGAATTTCGGAAATCTCTTAAAGAGGGGCAGGGTATGGGGGGTTGTGCAAATAGTGGCTTTTGAACTGGCAACGGTTTCCTCCACTCCTGTTGGGTTGGGTCTTTAGACTACAACTTCTTGGATACCCTTCAAATTTCTTTCAACCTGCAAAAAGGCAAACACACTTTTTGCTTGGGGATCTACAGCCCCCAAGTGTCCTTTTGGTTTCTGCGAATACCAAAAAGGGATAAAAAGGGGGGGGGGGGGGTCCGCCATTGGGAGCAACCCTGGGCCCCGACGTGCCGAAAGCGGATCAGCGCAGGCGCTGAGCGCGGTAGGTTTGGGGCTCCACGAGGGCGAGGGCGAGGAGATGGTCGGCTCTGGGGCCGCGGTGGCGGCGGACATGATGGACGCCTTTCTAGTGGCCAAAGAGAGAAACGGCTGGAGCCTGCAGGCGAGGGAGAGAGATGGAGGGAAAGGGAGGGGAGGGGAAGGTGGAAGGGAGGGAGAGAGGGGCTCCTTTGAGTTGTCCCGTGACTAGAAGAATGGGACCTCTTTTCAAGTGGGTTCCAAACCCAGCTTTCACAAACTGACAACCGAGCAACTGGCAGCAGGGACATCCTTGGATGTGTACCCTCTTTGGGGGCGCATTTCAAGCGAGGCCAAGAGGAAATTACTTTTTGGGCTTCCCCTCCCCTACTTTGAGACAAACCCACGTATACGTGGGTTGTTTGCAATAGGCGGAGTGGAAGTATGAGGCGATTGTTCGGCGAGGGGTGATGGTCGTAGGGGGCGACTTGGAAATTTGGGGCCAGTCTGTCATGTTTTTAGTAGAGAATATCAAAATACACAAATCTTAATCGACCGTTCCCGCGCAACAGTGGCAGGTATACCAACCTGGTCGTGCATAGCTGAAGGTCGCATCAAAGCATGAGGAACCGACTTGTCACATGTTTATGATGGGGGTATTATAGCATAGACGTGATGGAATTTGATGAGGTGGCATGGCATGTTATGGCGTGTGATGGCTGTACCTTAGACAAAGCACGCCAGTTGATGCTGCATGCGCGGTATGAACTTGGAAGACTGAATTTTGAATATCTTAGCCAAGGTAGTGAGCAATATGGGTGTGGCTCAAAATTGAACCGGAGGGGTTACGCAGGTGTTGGTCCATGTTTCCACTTACCAGGGTTCCATTTTGGTGCCGGTTTTTGAGCCACAGCCATATGTCTACAGTTCTAAGGGTTTTTGTATTACACCCTGGAAATACACCCACTGGGTATTGACCCCATTTAGGCACGTTTCCGGATAAAACCGTGTTATGTTGAACCATTCTGGGTCATTGTGTAATCCCAGGGTGTAATACAAAAACCCTCAGAACAGTCATTCTCCAAGCAGATACATTTGAGGAGCCATAGCCTTCAGACACTGAGACAAGCTGCGCTGCGCCCACGAATTCGCTATCGCGGGATGCGCGTTCTTGAATCGTCACCTTTTCACTCTTCTTGGCTCAAGTTGTTCTCGTTGTTTTTTGGTGTTTTTTTCCATCCTCATTAAAGAAAAGAAGAAAAAACAAAGAAATATGAGTTGTCTGCTAGCCCATACCAAGGGTTGTGAAGTTGGATAAAGAGCCCAGCAGCGATGGGATGGGGCGACCTCACTATATATGGATACCATAGGTTCTTGCTTGAGATCTTGGTGGGTTCTAGGTCGTCTTGAAGAGGTATTAAGCAAAGCTGTGCCGGGAGCACCGCAAAACATGCTGAGGCTCCAGGAATTCGAATGGTTTGCTTGTAATTTTGCTGGGTAAGGCTTCCAAAGACATGTTTGGGTGTGGCTCAAAATTAAACAACTGGGGCAAACCGCTGGTTTTAGTCTTTGGTTCCATTTGCCAAGGTGCCACTTTGGTACATTTGTTTGACCTACAGCCGTTTGGCTTACCTTGCTGAAACAAGTTGCATTTGTTCTGGCACGCGGCAGAAGATGAACCGTGGTTCGAGAGCAACTGAACACCAGTGTGAGCTCCCGGCTGTTACCCAGATGCATTGCTTGGCTGAATCTTGTCCCTTTTTTCTCTACCTTGCGGCTGAAAAGGACCTAGTCCCTTGAAAAGTACTCTCAGCTACGTGTTTGGGTCTGAAAGTAAACAAGTACATCCTTGCGTATCTGCGAATCGGCATTTGGACCCCGGATCGCTGGATTTCGGGGCCCACCTCTCCAGGAGAGCCCGGTGGGCGTGGTGGTGGATGCGGTGCAAGCTGAGTGGCGCCGCGCCATTGCCCAGGACGGACACACCAGACAAATTCCCTTGGCTTTCCGACGGTTTTCCCATGGTGTCCCTTGGCTTTTCCTTGGTGTTCCCCAGGTGTTTCCTTAATTTGCCCTTGGCTTTGGATTTCCCTTGGTTTTTCCCTTGGTGTCGTTTTTTGTTTTCCCCAAGATACCCCTAGGTCGTCCCCAGGTGTTCCCTTGATTGTCCCTTGGGTTTTTCCTGGGCTTCCCGTGTGTTTGTCAGGTTTTCCCTTGGTCTCGCCATGGTTTTCCATTCGTTTCCCTTCGTTTCCCCATGGCTTTCCCTTGGTTTCCCCGTGGTTTCCTGTTTTCTCCCTCCCGGTTTGCCTTGGATGCCTTCAAGTATTGCCAAGGGTGATGCG